CGTCCACCTGCCCCAACCCACACACCCGTGGCTGGCAAAGCGGACACCTCTGCAGCCGAATAAGAGAGCAACGTCTTCAAGTCAGGCAGGAGCAGAGGCAGCGCCGTGGGGGGGGTCGCAGCCCCCCGCCCCAGGGGCCAAGGAGATGTGCCTTCAGTCTCCTTGGGGCCACTGCAGACACGTTTCCCAGGGAGGCGCCCCCACTGTCCTTGATTTCAGACCCGGGCTGACAACTGCCCGACGCAGTGTGGGTCCTGGCGCGGACTTCGCCGTGTGGCCTTGGGCAATATATGTGGCCCCTCCAGACTTCAGTTTCCTGGTCTGCACATCACAGAGGAAACTTTATTCCAGATTCGATCTGAGCAGTGCGGAACGATACATTCTTCACCTCCCTCACTGCAGACCCTCTACTTCTGTGAAATATCCCGAGGGCCACGCTGGCGTTACTGCGGCGTTCAGTAGGCAGGGAGGCTGACTGTGGGGGGGCGCCTCGGCCTGCAGGGGAAGCAACAGGCCTGAATGTCCCCTCTCCCCAGGCGGGCATGATCATAGACAACGGAGTCAAGACGACTGAGGCCTCTGCCAAGGATAAGCGCCCCTTCCTGTCCATCATCTCTGCCAGGTAGTGGGCCTTCAGGGAGGCATGTACGCCACCCCCTCCAAGACCTTGTGACCCAGCCCCATTCTCTCAGTTCACTCATTCACTCATTCACTCACTCACTCATTCATCAAATGTCCGTTGAGCACATTCTGTGTCGTGGGCATGGAGCTTGCTGCTGGGGGAACCGTGGTGAACCTCTGAGCTGGGCAAAGTATGAGTTAGGGTTCAGGCTCCAGCAGCCAAAAGGAAACAGAAATTCCTACAGGTTTCTGGATCCCTCTGCAAAAGGCAGCCTCGTAAGTCAACAGAAATGGCCAGGGTCACAGCAGGCGAAGGGAAAAGAAGGGAAGAATTTCCCCATCAGTTTAATGGGAAGGGACACGCCGGCTAAGTGAAAGGCCAAGGGCTACTTTTATAAGGTGCTGTCTAAACCTCTAGGTTATCAGGGAAGCCAGCACCCCTTAGAAAGTCCAAGTTGCTTGGTCTCCATCAAAAGTGAACGTCACTGGTGACTTGATAACGTCCACGACTCTTGCTGGACTGGACATCAGTGAGCATCTGGGCTCAGTGCCCCATTTTGTAGCTAAGAAGCTCAAGCCCAGGAAAGGTACTCGGTCGGGGTGACCCCCCAGTGAGCAGAGAGAGCTGGCACCTCAGCCTTGCCTTCCGGCCACCGGGGCTGTGTCGCATGCCGGGCTTGGGGCTGGCTGTCTGAACGTTCCTCGGTGACCCCAATGGGTGGGGGTTCCTCAGTGGTGCTGAACGAGAGGTGACGTGTCATGGGGCTGCCTGGGGGGAAAGGCCTCTTGCCTCTGTGATGAGCCCAGAAGGGTCACTGCAGGGCCCCAGGATGCAGGCTGGCCAACACTTTATGGGAAGGAAACATTATTAGATTAAATTGTAGCTTGGGAGAGTGCCTGGCTCATTGATGTTCTGAGCTTAAGTAACTTCTAAAATTTTTTAATTGAGATACATACCACAGAATAGCTTAGCTTAAATAATTTAATTCTGGCCACAGCCCTATGAGGCAGATACCTGTCATCTGATGGGCATGGCAACTGAGGCCTGGAGAGCCAGCCCTTCTGTGTTGAGGAGATGGACCCCCACCCTGACTCAAGTCCGGCTGCTGGGGCCCACGGCCGATAGAGTAGTTGATGAGGAAGGGCCAGTGGTCAGGGTGGACCCCATAAGATTTATTTGCCACTGACTTTTCACTGTTCCTCCAAGGTGTGTTGGGCTGGGCGGTGGGGATACTTGGGGGACAGCCAGGGTATGCGCCCGGCTTGGGCCCTTCCTACCGTCGCCCAACTGGGAGCTCGCGGGTGCTGACCTCTGTGGCTCTCCCCTTGTGCCCACCTCCACCAGGAAACCGGATTCTGGTTCATTTTCCACCACGTACCGACAGGCCCCTCCGCGGGCATGTACTCCCCGGGGTACTCGGAGCACATTCCACTGGGGAAATTCCATAATAACCGAGCGCATTCCAACTACCGGGTAAGCCTCGCCAGACTTCGCCCTGCGGCCGCTGGGCCACCTTCCAGGCCTGCATGTGACCAGGGCCGCCTCCCAGGATGGTCCAAGGAAATGCGCGGCCTCCCAGGCCTCCTGGGCCTCCTGGGCCACTGGCCACTCTTAGCAAGGACCTCCTGTGGCTCTTCCTGCCTTAGGCACTGCCTTCGCATCTGGTGGGGCCAGAAGAGGAGCCAGATGTGGCTTTTCTGAGCCGATGGGGGACAGATGAGGAAGTCGAGGCCCGCAGAGGGGATGGACACACTCAGGGTCCAAAGAAAGGTCTCCCCAGGGAGAAGGCCGTAAGAGGAGAAGAAACCTCGGAATAGAGCTGTACTTCCACCCAGGCAGTGGGGTGGGGAGCAGGGCCCTGTGAGGAGGCAGAGAGGACCCCAGGGGCAGTCGTGTCCCCAGAGCCAGGAAAGAAGAGTTCAGAGGGCAGAGTGCAGGCAGGAGGGGGCAACCGTGCCTGCTTCATAAGGAGAGAGAATTGGCGCGGTCGCAGCCAGGTGTTTCTGAGGCCATCGTGGCACCAGGGCCGTGCCTTGTGGGGGCCGCAGGAGCAGTGGAGAGAGCGTGTGGCTGCCTGTCGGGGCCTCTGGGAGCCTCCACACAGCTGGGTGGGCCAGGCAGCAGCATGTGTCTGGACAGGTGGGCAGGAGGGGACCTAGCGGGGAGGATGTTCTCCAACCGGGAGGCAGGAGGGTCTCAGGGCACATTCGGGGACGCTTGAGGGAAGGCGGCAGGCTGGGAAAGAGGCCAACGGAGCCTCGGGCCGGGCCGGTTTGGCTGGCTGAGCAAAGCAGGAGGCCCTGTGCTGGGTGGTGTCCACACCCAGTCAGCCTCCAGTCTGTAGCCTGGACTCTCTCAGTCCTCACTGCCATCCTTGGAAATCGGTGTGAGCAGCCCACCTTGAGGCTGTGCCTGAGGCTGGAGAGGCGAGGGCACAGAGGCCATTTACCCAAAGTCACAGCTCAGGAGAGAAGAGCTGGCGCCTTATCCTTTGGTTCACGTCGCCACTGCTTAGCCATAAGTCAGGCAAACGGGGCCAGAGCTGGTTTCCTCCAATTGCCTCAAAAAGAGAAACCCGAGTCCGAGCAGACGGAAGGCTGATGGTGGCCCTCCCTGCAGATCGTCCACCTGCCCCAACCCACACACCCGTGGCTGGCAAAGCGGACACCTCTGCAGCCGAATAAGAGAGCAACGTCTTCAAGTCAGGCAGGAGCAGAGGCAGCGCCGTGGGGGGGGTCGCAGCCCCCCGCCCCAGGGGCCAAGGAGATGTGCCTTCAGTCTCCTTGGGGCCACTGCAGACACGTTTCCCAGGGAGGCGCCCCCACTGTCCTTGATTTCAGACCCGGGCTGACAACTGCCCGACGCAGTGTGGGTCCTGGCGCGGACTTCGCCGTGTGGCCTTGGGCAATATATGTGGCCCCTCCAGACTTCAGTTTCCTGGTCTGCACATCACAGAGGAAACTTTATTCCAGATTCGATCTGAGCAGTGCGGAACGATACATTCTTCACCTCCCTCACTGCAGACCCTCTACTTCTGTGAAATATCCCGAGGGCCACGCTGGCGTTACTGCGGCGTTCAGTAGGCAGGGAGGCTGACTGTGGGGGGGCGCCTCGGCCTGCAGGGGAAGCAACAGGCCTGAATGTCCCCTCTCCCCAGGCGGGCATGATCATAGACAACGGAGTCAAGACGACTGAGGCCTCTGCCAAGGATAAGCGCCCCTTCCTGTCCATCATCTCTGCCAGGTAGTGGGCCTTCAGGGAGGCATGTACGCCACCCCCTCCAAGACCTTGTGACCCAGCCCCATTCTCTCAGTTCACTCATTCACTCATTCACTCACTCACTCATTCATCAAATGTCCGTTGAGCACATTCTGTGTCGTGGGCATGGAGCTTGCTGCTGGGGGAACCGTGGTGAACCTCTGAGCTGGGCAAAGTATGAGTTAGGGTTCAGGCTCCAGCAGCCAAAAGGAAACAGAAATTCCTACAGGTTTCTGGATCCCTCTGCAAAAGGCAGCCTCGTAAGTCAACAGAAATGGCCAGGGTCACAGCAGGCGAAGGGAAAAGAAGGGAAGAATTTCCCCATCAGTTTAATGGGAAGGGACACGCCGGCTAAGTGAAAGGCCAAGGGCTACTTTTATAAGGTGCTGTCTAAACCTCTAGGTTATCAGGGAAGCCAGCACCCCTTAGAAAGTCCAAGTTGCTTGGTCTCCATCAAAAGTGAACGTCACTGGTGACTTGATAACGTCCACGACTCTTGCTGGACTGGACATCAGTGAGCATCTGGGCTCAGTGCCCCATTTTGTAGCTAAGAAGCTCAAGCCCAGGAAAGGTACTCGGTCGGGGTGACCCCCCAGTGAGCAGAGAGAGCTGGCACCTCAGCCTCGCCTTCCGGCCACCAGGGCTGTGTCGCATGCCGGGCTTGGGGCTGGCTGTCTGAACGTTCCTCGGTGACCCCAATGGGTGGGGGTTCCTCAGTGGTGCTGAACGAGAGGTGACGTGTCATGGGGCTGCCTGGGGGGAAAGGCCTCTTGCCTCTGTGATGAGCCCAGAAGGGTCACTGCAGGGCCCCAGGATGCAGGCTGGCCGGGGTTTCATCTGTGTGTTCTGGGGCCCCGTGAGCAGGGAGACACTCAGCCGGAAGGGAGTCAGCTCAGGGGTCCCCCCAGCACCGCCGCCTGAGCCCCCCGCTGCTGTGTCACAGGTACAGCCCTCACCAGGACGCGGACCCGCTGAAGCCCCGGGAGCCGGCCATCATCAGGGACTTCACCGCCTACAAGAACCAGGACCACGGGGCCTGGCTACGCGGCGGGGACGTGTGGCTGGACAGCTGCCGGTGAGCAGACAGCGCGGGACGCTGGCCCAGAGGGCGCCATGCTCCTCCCCCTGGGCCAGCGGGGAGAGGGGAGCCAGGCAGGGGTGCAGAGTGGCAGCAGGCAGCGGCCCCCACAGCCCCTGAGAACAGCAACTGCCGTGCGCTGAGGGTCATGGTCTGCCTCCGCGAGGTCCCTGGGCTTGGCTTGCTTGGGCCGCACAGCCAGTCGGTGGGGGGGAGTGAAGGACGCTGGCGTTTTCTAGGCACCTACTGTGTGCTGAACCCTAGGTCGTATTTATTTCTCACCATGTTTCTCAGATAGACACTCTCACCCCACTTTAGAGCTGGGAAGCTGAGACTCAGTTTAGTGAATTCCTCAAAAGTTCACACAGCCAGTGACTGAATGGAGGCTTGGCTTTTCAGTTCGCTGGACTCCTCAGCCCAAATGAAGGAGGCAGGGGGCCCTGAGCCCTGACGTGAGGTCCCCAGGGTGAGCCACCAGCCCCCGGGACGAGGGCCAGGAGGGGCAGCCACTGAGATGGGATTTGCTTTACAGCCACATCGTGAAATGTCTCCTTATGGGCCTCTTGTGCTAAAAATGGGAAATGAGAAACTATGTAAGAAATAAATGGATCTCTCCATTTTATTGTGGCCAGTTAATGGAGAGCTAATGGTGGAAGGAGGCGGGAGGGAGTGGAAGTGTGCGAGGGACACAGGGACACAGAACACGCATGGGCAGAGACGGACAGACGGACGTGGAGGTGCCCTGCCGAGAAGCAGACGGTGTGCACTTTGCATACGGGGTCAGAGAAGGCGGGGGTCTTTGAGGCAGTAAAGGGAAGCCAGTGGTTCTGGGTGTGGGAAGAGCTCGGGGGAAGAGGCAGGCCTAAGGCCCTCAGGTGGACTTGGGCTTAGGAGAAGGGGAACCTCCGGCAGGGCAGGGCTTCCTGTGGAGGCGGAACCTCCAGTGTGATGCCAGGGACAGGGAAGGGTCCTTCCCGCCGTGGCTCCACTGGCCGGAGGGAGAGCGTGCTCTGACCGTCTGCTCTTGTCCCCAGGTTTGCTGACAACGGCATTGGCCTGACTCTGGCCAGGTAAGAGCAGCTGTCAGCGTCCTGTGGCCTCTGGGGGAAGCCGTCTCTGCACATCTCATCCCAGACGTTTTCTCTCTGCAGTGGTGGAACCTTCCCGTACGACGACGGCTCCAAGCAGGAGATAAAGAACAGTCTGTTTGTGGGCGAGAGTGGCAACGTGGGGACGGAGATGATGGACAACAGGGTCTGGGGCCCCGGCGGCTTAGACCACAGCGGGAGGACCCTCCCTATAGGCCAGTAGGTTTGCTGCCCCTACAGCTTCCCCGTCCTGCGTGGCTTGACCGAGGCAGCAACGGGAGGGGTGGTGGCATGATTTTACCTGTTGATTATGAATTCCTCCGTCCCTGGCCTGCCGGGGACAGCACGGCAACAGCTGGATTAAACAGCAGTCGGGGGAAATCTAGGATTAGAGAAAAAGAAACTGCTGAGAACGAGTGAGCAGGGTGGCATGGCTATCAGAGAGCACGCCATGGCTCTGGGGCTGCGTGAGTGGAAGGTGGTGGCCGGAGCCACGGCCACAGGCCCTTCCTCCTCCGAGAGCTCGTCCACTTCTGGGGGCGGCGGAGAGAGGCTGGACAGCCCACACCCCAGAAAATGACCTGGAGGGCGTCAGAGCTGCGTCATCGCAGACTGGGACCGTCATCCCAGAGATGGGATCACACTTTGGGGACGAGCGCAGGTCGTCACGCAGTCTCGGAGCTGCTGTGCACGCAAAAGGCAAAGCCCATTCTCCGTGGGCCTCGACAGCCAGGATTGGTTTAGTGCAGGAAATAACGCCAATGGGTTTGTTCAACAACAGAGCAGCCGGGTGTCCTGAAGGGTCATGGGCTCTGTCCCAGGAGTTCCCAGGCTGGTTGGTAGCCAGGCGGCAGGGGCAGAGCCAGGGGAGGGTGGGGCTTGGAGAGCAGGTGCGCTAACAGAGCACCCAGACAGCCAGTTCTCCAGAAAGCCACGGCCTGGGGCTGGGTGGGGAGGTGTCCCCCCCCTCGGATGGTGTCTCTGCTCAAACGCAAGTTCAAGCCAGGGTGCACAGTTCCAAGTGCGCCCGCCGCACAGGGGTCCCTGTGCTCCAGGCCTGAGAGCAGCCCCTCCTGCCCCCTGAGCGTTCTCTCTCCAGGAAAAGATAATTCCTGTTTTCTAGGCCGGGCACAGGCCTAAACCTCCCACCCCGAGTGGATGTGTATCTTTGAGAAAGTTTGCAGACAGAACCACAGTCTCCTTTGGCCCAAGCTGCCAGAAGCCCTTGTTTCTGTCTATAGTGGTCCCTCCAGATCATTTTTGTGAGCCCTTGGGATCTGCGTACGTGGGGTAGCTTTGTGGAGGGTAACCAGCCTCCCGGGGCCCGAAGGTCCTAATGATTTGCAGACACGAGCTGGTTCGTGGAGGCCGATGGCTCTCCCAGGCGCAGGCGGTCCCTCAACCCACCTGCGAGCAGGGGCCTAAGCCCACAGTCCTCGTCGTGGGCGAGTCGTCCCAGTGTCCTGGGTGGGGTCTTAGGCTTCAGCACACAGTTCACGCACATAGCTGGTGGGAAATGCCTTCAGTGGAAAACGGATGGAGGCGCCGCCTGAGAATCAGGATTCAGGGCAATGACGTTAATCAATCACAAACATAGAAATACACGTGAGAAGCCCTTGGTGTCCACCAAAGGGCACATCACCAAGGCTGGGGTGACGGGGACTTCTGCAGAGAACCCTGTCTGAATGGAGACAGGCCGAGGGCTGAAGATGGGGACAGCAGAGGGAGTGTGGCCTGTCCCCCTGCACTGAGCCTCTCTGTCTCCTTTCCCCCTTCCCTCCTCATGTGGCTGTGGGAGGAGAGGGCCTGGCCCAGAGGGGCCCGTGGAAGCCTAGAGATTGGGGCTTGCAGCATGAGCAAGGCTGGGGCCAGGAGCCAGGCGGCCCCTCTGAAGCCCTGCTCGGGAGTCCAGGGCACATGAGGGGGGCGACTCCGGGCACCCCGCCCCCTGGGGGTGGATTCCCAGGGCGCTGCTTGTTGCCCAACACCCCCCGCCTCCTCCACACCTGCTGCCTCTTTCTCCACCTGTCCCTCCCCACCAGGTGTCAGGGCTCCCGTGGGGCCCTCTGGCACTCTGCGATCCTGCCTTCCCGGGGGGCCTGCCCAATCTTCTAGGGATGCTCAAGAATTTACCTCAAAGCAGTTCTACCTTCCCCCCCGGGTCCCTCCTCCACTGTCTCCCAAGGCCTGCTCTCTCCCAGGGGAGGGTGAACCCACAGAGGGGACCCTCAGCTGGGGCTCCGTCTGATTCAACTCTTAGAGCAGCTAAAACTAAGGCGATAATCACTAATGGCTTTACTCTCCCAAGAGAAATCTGGGCACTTTCCTGCTCATTTGTGGTATATACCCAGTAGTTCTGCCTACAGTGGGAAACTTGGGGGAAATGATTGAATAGAGGACCATCACCCAAGCCCCAGCCAGCACCTAGACACACAGTCACCCCCCCATCCCCTATCCATCCATCCATCCATCCATCCATCCATCCATCCATCCGCTTACCCACTCACCCTCCGTCTGCCCCTACCCATCCACCCCATCCCCATCCACCCACCTACCCATCCACCCACCTCTCCATCTACCCACCATCCACCCACCCAGCCCGCCATCTGTCCATGTGCCTACCCATTTACCCCTCCACCCACCCCATCCCCCATCCCCCACTCACCCCCCATCATCCTACCCACCTACCCACCCTCTACCCACCCATCTACCCATCCATCTGTCCATCCATCTGGCAGTCATTCACTGGTGTTCACTGTGTCCATAAAGCCTCCCTCAGTGAATGAGGTAATGAATCAGTAATGTCCAGGGAAGGGGAGCTGCTGGGGCACGGGTGGGATCAGGAATGGTTTACCAGAAATTCTCAGTCTCCCTCCATGTCTGGGGGTGGCAGCAACCTGGTGGTGCACGTGCTCATGAGCCTGGCACCTGACTTCCTCTGCAGGAATTTTCCGATCCGAGGGATTCAGTTATACGACGGCCCCGTCAACATCCAGAATTGCACTTTCCGCAAGTTCGTGGCCCTGGACGGCCGGCACACCAGCGCCCTGGCCTTCCGCCTGAACAACGCCTGGCAGAGCTGCCCCCATAACAACGTGACCAACATTGCCTTTGAGGACGTCCCGGTGAGTGAGGCCCCGGGGCGGGCTCCCGGCAAATCCTGGCTCTGGGTGGCAGTGACTCCTGGGCCCGGGGCCTGCGGTGTGAGCTGTACCACCACCTGCAGCTGCCCAGCCCCACCCCAGTGCCATCTGCATCCAAACTGGAAAAGTACAAGCGCAGGGGCCCCATAGGTCCCATCTGGCTGGTAGACGCCCATGGGCCTCCCTGGCCCAAACAGTGGGACTCGGTTCTGAGGCTGCCACTCTGAGGGTCTCGGTTCCGACCTGCTGAGTTTTGTGACCAGGCCACCTGAGTTGGCACATTGAATCTTAAAAAATCCAGTTTCTGAGGGCATCTTTGTGGAGTGTAAACAGGGCCCTGCCGGCCCTAGACAGCCACTCGCCAGGAGCGGAGGTGAGGAGAGGGGGCCTTGGTTGCCCTCAGGGACCAGCAGGTGGCTGCCCGGGCACCTTCTCTGTTTCCCAGACCCTTCCTGCGCCTCCCCGCCTCTGCTCCTGCCATGCCTGTGTGCCAGGTCCCGGCAGGCCGAGGGAAAGATGTGAGACTTGAGCTCCTTGATCTCTGTACTGAGGCTGCCAGAGGCCCGGAGGAGGCCGGTCAGGACTGTTCAGGGCTGGCACTGAAACTGTCTTCCTGAAACACACCACCCTCGCACCCCTTCTGTCTCGCAGACCCCATGTGTGTGTCTTCTCGCGTAAGCATTTACCACCTCCTCCATCACGCACACACATGCACACTCACACATACACACCACACCTGCACATGCTTGCACACCCATCTCTGCAGTGTCCGCAGCCCTGTGCCAGCACCCTCCCCAGACTCCCCCGCAGCAGCCAGCCCTCCCGTGAGCAGCGGCCAGGACAGTGTGCCGGGCCCGGGTTGAGGCACAGTGGGCATCTGGCCGTTCCAGCTCCTCCCTAGAGGCCGGCCATGCGGCTCCTCAGCCCCGGGACCGTGTTTGCTCTGGCTGGCTTGTGATGTCGGTGTGAACTGGAAACTCCGCCCTGGCGTGATGACGGCTGCAGCCTCCCTTCTCCTTCCGGCCCAGCCTGACTCTCCTGGGCTCTCTGTTCAGATTACCTCCAGAGTGTTCTTCGGAGAGCCTGGGCCCTGGTTCAACCAGCTGGACATGGATGGGGACAAGACGTCGGTGTTCCACGACACTGACGGCTCCGTGTCCGAGTACCCCGGGTCCTACCTCACCAAGGACGACAACTGGCTGCTCCGGCACCCGGACTGCATCGACGTCCCGGACTGGCGGGGGGCCATCTGCAGCGGGCACTACGCACAGGTGGGCATCCCCAGTCCCCCCATGTCTGCTGAATTCCTTCCTTCTTCCTTTTTATATTTCCTCCTCACCCAGGTGGATTTTCCAAAATCCAAAGCAGAATGCTTAAGAGACAAGTGCTCTGGGGCCCAGTGCTTGGATTCGGGTCGGGCTCCAGGGCTTAGTGGGGCTCCTTAAACTCTTGGAGCCCCAGCGTCCTATCTGTGACATCAGGATAGTAGCTGAACCCCCTTAAAGAGACTGTGGGGGGTCGTTTAGGGCGGAAGGTGCCCCACCAGCCCCATCCCCCAAGGATCATGGCGTAAGCTCCACATGGGGGCTGACATTTCCCAGTAGCCACGTTAAAAGGAAAAATGGACAGTTCAAATTAATTTTAGTAACACTTTATTTAGCTCAATGTACTCAAAATACTCTCATCTCAGCATATAGTCAATATAAGCAATGCATTCATGAGGCACTTTACTTTTTTTTCTGTTCTAAGTCTTTGACATCCACGGTGTGTTTTTTACTCAGTCACACAATTTGGATGGACATTTTCAACACAGTGAAACTCAGTCCTACCAGAATAGAATTGTGCTTAATGGCAAAATGTTTAACCCTGCTTTTGGTTTGAAACTTAATTAAAATGAAACTTACAATCCAGGCACACCGCCACCTTCCCAGGGCTGCGTGGCCACGTGGCCAATGGCTGTTGCGTGGGGCATGCAGGCTTAGGGCCTGGCACGTGGCAGAACTGAAAGCACAAGTCAGCTGCTCTGCACCAGCAGTCGGGTGCCCGAGTGAACGGGGGTGGGGGAGGCGGGGTGAGCCCCGCGCTCCAGAGGGGAAGGCGGAGTGCCGGAGGGAAGTCGGCCTCACAGCCACCCTGCAGGACGCCAGGAATCCGAGTGTCAGACAACAGCCAAAGGGGGGTCTGGGGTTCACGGAGGGACAGGAGAGGGAGCCAGTGGCAGCGAGACAAAGAGCCTCAGGGCAGGGTGGGCAGGGAGGGCACGCGGAGGCAGGGCCTGGGGTGGGAGGGCCCTGGCTGGGGCAGGAGGTGAGGTCATGTGCTGGCAGGGAGGGCCTGGTGGGGTGGCCTGCAGAGAGGGATGAGGCTGTAGATGGTGGAAGAGGCTTATAGGAGGCAGGTGGGAGGCAGGTGAGGGGCGCAGGGCAGGTTGCCCGTTGGAGGCGAGAGATCTTGAGCAAACACCCCCAGGCTCCCCGGTGCCCCCTCCGCAGAGCTCTGTCAGGAGATGCCCGGGAGGCGTTAGCCGGACAGCAGGGTGTGGCTTGTGCTGGTCCACAAGCAGAAATGCCCCTTATTTGGCCTTTCTCAAGCCTTCTCAAAAGGGCTCCGCTGGGAGAAAGTGCCTTCGAAGTGTGGTCCGCAGTCTGACGTTAACCAGACGCTCTCGGGATGATCCCTGTAATCGCCCAACGGTGTGTTTCCTTTTCGGGCCGTAACAGATGTACATTCAGGCCTACAAGACCAGCAACCTGCGGATGAAGATCGCCAAGAACGACTTCCCCGGCCGCCCCCTCTACCTGGAGGGGGCCCTGACCAGGAGCGCCCACTACCAGCAGTACCAGCCAGTCGTCACCCTGCGGAAGGGCTACACCATCCACTGGGACCAGACGGCCCCCGCCGAGCTCGCCATCTGGCTCATAAACTTCAACAAGTGCGTGGGTGCCCGCCAGCAGGGGTGGTCCGGGGCCGGCTGCCCGGGGAGCTCACGCAGCGGCGATATGATGCCGCGTCCCACAGTCCCAGGCCGGCCCCTCAGAGAACCTCAGGTTAGCCCATGTCGCCCCATGAAAGGATGCGCTCCATGAAAGCTTGTCACCCCCCTGGAACTTGGCATCTGGGTGTGCTGAGCGCCAGCCCTGGGCGTGGTGACCCATGCCGGGCATTCAACCGGGAAGAGCATCTCCTTGCCAGACAGGCTCCTGCCCTGAGCCCCATGCAGGACCCACTCCAGGGAACCCCTTGCTCACTGGCGGTCACTGTCTCTCCCCACTCCCAAAGCACGTGGCAACTCCGCCATTACCAGAAAATATTCTCTCAAAATTCCCCTCCACAGAAGCGGAGGTGCCACCTGGTCTCTGGGAGGCCTGCCCGGAGACCCTGAGGCCTAGATGGCCTCACCGGTGACCTGACTCCGCTTCTGGCCATAGGGGCGACTGGATCCGCGTGGGGCTCTGCTACCCCCGGGGCACCACCTTCTCCATCCTGTCGGACGTCCACAACCGCCAGCTGAAGCAGACGGCCAAGACGGGCACCTTTGTGCGGACCTTGCAGATGGACAAAGTGGAGCAGAGCTTCCCCGGCAGGAGCCACTACTACTGGGACGAGGACTCAGGGTGAGGAGCCCTGGGCGGCCGCCGGACGCGCTCACCCTCTCGTCCCCAGGCCCGGCCCATTGGCCTGGGAGCCTCCACGTGGCCTGTGCTGGTTAATTCGGGATGCTTCCCCAGGCGCTCCCATGCCCAGGCTGCTCCTGCCGTCCGCCAGCTGTTAGGCTTGGGAGCAAATTCACCCTGTATTAAACATATATGTGGGTTGTAGGGAATATACCTGTTTCAGAAAACGAAGTGAAAGCAGTGGGTCTTAGAATGGAGGAGGCGTGGTACCGTACCTCAAGTCCTCACAGCCCAGGCGGAGCACATGAGCTGGTCGCCCCTCTAGAGGTGGGCAAAGAAGGACCAGAGAAAGTAGGGGCGACTTGCTCAGAGACCACAGCGCACCACGGGCACGGCTGGCTTGAATCAAAGCCCATCTGTGCCGTTTTGCTAAACCGAGCTAGGCTCTATTCTCCAGGGATGGGATACTGATAGAGGGGCCATCTGTGCCTGTCGGGGGCACCTGGTCCCATCCCAACAAGGCGAGCTCACCTCACGTCTGCCAGCACAGTTCCAAAGGGACGATCCCATAGAAAGCTCGCCCTCTGGGGAGGAACGATAAGGGCTGTTTTACGGCCAGTTTCCCATTCTTGCAAGGAGATAGCTGGCAGGTTCCTGCCTTCTCTCTGTCTCTGTCTCTGTCTCTGTCTCTGTCTCTCTCTCTCTCTTCCTCTTTGTTAAGAGTGATGTCTTGCCAGTGGGTTTCAGCCCCGGACAAGTTCACTATGGATTCAGTGAGACCAAAGAAACAACAGTAGAACGTTTTTGGGGTGAAAGGGTTATACCCAACTTTATTCCCACAGTGGCAGGTCGATCACTAGAATCCCGTTCACTCATAGTGAGCCTGCAGGCAGCAAGCTGGTCTCTGCCTCTGGGCCTCTCTGCCCACACGGCCGTCCTCTGGGCCTCTGTCCTCGGCGCTCCTCCACCCCCCTGCTCCCCCACCACGCGGAGCACAGACGTCAGGAGGGCATGCTCTGCCCCAGCCTGAATGCCAGATCTGGGCAGCAGGTGGCTTGTTTTGTTCAGGGATCCACTTGATGCAAGAAGCACAGACAGTCAAGTGAACGCAATGAACCGGGGGTGCCCTAGGGAGGAAACCTGGGCATGTGCAGGAGGGAAGCCCAGCTGGCCCCACGGGCTCTGGTCCAAAACAACGAAGCCCTCAGGATGAGAAGCCAGCCTGGTTCACCCCTCTGCCCCCTCCCACTCACATTCCCGCATGCCTGGCCTGTAGCAGCAGCTCTGGCTGCACACTGCCCACCTTCTTTCTCCATTCCTTGGCTGCTTCATGACACAAAATGGTTGCCCCAGCTCCGACAGGAGCCTCTGGGTCTCTCAATTCAAGTTCATGAGAGGGAGAATTTCCTTAGTCATTGCGTCACCAGCAGGTGCCCCTCCTCAAGCCCAGTGTGGGCCCCTGGCCCGTCAGCTGTGTGGTTGTGGGGCAGAGGAATCATGGCTTCATGGTGCAAACCCAGCTTGCTGAGCAGACAGGGCCCTGCTGAGAGCCAGCTGGGAAGAGGGGGGTGCACTGATTGCCCAAATCAGATATTCTAACATTTCAGACATGGGAATCTGCTGATGGCATTTTTCTGAGCTAAAAACAGTGATGATAACAAGCCCACATTAGTACCTGGGTCTCCGCATTCTGTGACTCCCGTACCACCTAGTCACTGTCTAGTCCCTCACAATAAGCAAGAATGAATCGTGGTTTGGGAAAAAGCAGAATTAGGGAAGCTGACAGCATGTTCCTCACCGGGCAGTGATGGACAGAGAATCCCAGCCCTGCCAGGCCCCTGCTGTGTGTCCTAGGCAAGTCACTTCACTTCTCTGAGCCACGGTTTCCCCATCTGAGAAATCAGGGTGATAACAGTCCCTACTGGACGGGATCATTTGAGGATCAAATGAGAGAACATGTCACTTTACGGCACGTGGACAGCCCGGCACGTAGTGCATGCTCGGGAGAAGATGGCTGTCCGTGTTCTTAGCTTTTACTTCAGCGCATTTGCTTTTCTTTTCTCCAGTGAGGTAGACATGCCCTCTGGTCATTTTGGGAAGCCGTGGGGCTAACCACAGTGGCTGGCACACCATGCTCGGTGGATGCCTTTGCCAAAGGAGGGAACAGGATGGGGGGCTCTGCATGCCAAGGCGGGCCCCCCGCTATGCTCCTGTGTGCAGGCTGCTGTTTCTAAAGCTAAAGGCACAGAACGAGAGAGAGAAGTTTGCCTTCTGCTCTGTGAAAGGCTGTGAGAGAATAAAGATTAAGGCCCTGATCCCAAAGAATGCGGGCGTCAGTGACTGCACGGCCGCCGCCTACCCCAGGTTCGCAGAGAGGGCAGTCGTGGACGTGCCGATGCCCAGGAAGCTGTCCGGGTCCCAGCTGGTGAGTGGCTGCTGGTGAGCCTGGCCTCTGCCTTTGGCTGGGCTGGACCCCCTCTGGGTCCTCTCCAGACCTCCGCTCGGCTCCACAAACCAGCTCCTGGGACTGGGGAGCCGAGGGGGTGACCACCCGTCGGGTCTACGCGGGACCCCCCCACACCTCACAGCCACACCGGCTTCTATGTGGTTTCCAGAAAACAAAGGACCATTTCTTGGAGGTGAAGATGGAAAGTTCCCGGCAGCGTTTCTTCCACCTGCTGAACAACGTTGCTTACATTGAAGTAAGTGACGCCGGCCTGCAGCGCACTGGTGTGCTTACGAATGGGGGGTATTAGGGTCCTGCGGCTGCGTCATAAATGGCCACCAGCCAGGTGTCTCAAAGCAACGGAGATGTACCTGTCACGTGGCTGGAGGCCGGAAGGCCGAAGCCAGGGTGTTGGCAGGGCTGGTTCCTCCGGGAGGCTCTGAGGGAGCGACTGTGCCAGGCCCCTCCTGGCTCCTGCAGGGCCGGTGGTCCTTCCTGTCCCTTGCTGCAGACGCACCTCCAGTCTCTGCTCTGTGTTCACGTGGCCCGTTCCCGGGGGGTCTTACGGCTCCCTCAGCCTGTTTCAGAGGGTCGCCTATTTAAGACCCATCCTAAATCCAAGATGGTCTCATCTCAAATCCTCTATTTAGATGCGTCTGCAGAGAACCTCTTTCCAAATAAGTGCACTTCCACAGTGCCCAGGTGGACGTGTCTTCTAGGGGCTCCCACCCTGCCCCCTGCAGGGTGCTGCAGGGCACTGGTCAGGTGGGTGGGTGCTGTGCACGGCCACCTGCCTTCGGTTCCGCCTGGGAGCCCACCAGGAGGAGGCCCCCGTCCCACACCTGTGTGGCTTTGCGTCTGCAGGTGGATGGGAAGAAGTTCTCCAGCGTGGAAGACGGCATCCAGGTGGTGGTACTTGACGGGAGCCACGGGCGCGTGGTGAACCACACGAGCTTCCGGAACGCCATCCTGCAGGGCATACCTTGGCAGCTCTTCAACTACGTGGCGGCCATCCCTGACAGGTGACTCTGCGCCTCTGCCCCGGGAATTGGCCGGGGCCCCTTGCTGCCCCCCAGCCCTGCAGCCTGGTCCAGGCTGGGAAAGCCGAGGGGTGTCCGTTGCCTGCCTGCCAATCATGGGGCTGTGTCGGGAGACCTCGTGCCTGGGACTCCTGCTGGCCCGGGGCCGCCGTGAATGTAGGTCAGGCTGAGGCAGACAGGCCACCCAGGACAAGTGGGAAGTGTGCCCTGGCCCTCTCCCCATCGCGACACAGTCTGCCAGCATGATCTCATCCCTCCTACACTTCCCAATACCACCCGAATGCTGGTGGCTTTTGAGTATCTCCAGCCCGGATGCCCCCATGGGCTGACCTACCTGGCCAGTGCCGTCCATTCGATGTCTCCTGGGGAGCTGAATTCTCTCCTTTTTTTAACCTTCCCAAATGGTCACCCCTCCCATTCCCCCTGTTTTGATTAAACCACAACATCCGTGAGGAGCAAGACCAGCGTCCGGGCACCGTGTCTGCCCCTCGCTCTCTCCCTGAGCGGCAGCTGTGTCCTTGCCCTCCTGCCAGTCCGCCCGCCGTGTCCTCCATCGCCACCCCAGCCAGGCCTTCACTGTCAGGCACCAGCAGTTGGCCCAGCCTCCCGACAGGCCCCCGCTCAGATCCATCTTTCATGTGGCTGCTGGTTGGAACTTTTTCCATGTAGGGGTCTTTTCGGCCCTTGCTGAGAAATCTTTGGTCATTTCCCACCACCTCCTGAATCCAGCACAACTTTTGGTCTCTCCCAGTCTAATCAGAAAGCTCTGTCTGTCCTCAAGCGCCACCCCCAGGGGACGGCTGGGCACGCCTGCCCCCGGACTGGGGCGTGGGCTTCCTGATGCTGGGACCAGGTCTAGCTCATATTTGCGTTCCTGGTTAAATGCGTGCAGAGCTTAGCCAGGAGCACAGCTCGGCCTCACAGATCTGTGTGAAGTGCTTGATGGGACACACACAGGGGCTCAGCTAATGTCTACTGATGAGAACCAGGGTGCTTCCCGGAAGCTGACTGTGTGGTGGGTGTGAACTGGACACCACGAGACCCCAGGCACTGGGTTCCGCTCAGACAGTCTCCACTCCATCCCCATCAGAAGCTTCTTCAGTGTTACAGTGTTTATACGCAGACTCGCACAGAAAGATCAGATTTACTGATCTGGGGGAAATACATTTATCCCCTTGAGATCCGTAGGTTTCATGCCTTTCTGGACCAGAGGACTGTTCCCTGAACTGGGACAGGATGCAGAAGCCTGGGACCAGAAACCAGGGCCCAGGGCCGCTCTGATGAGGCCAGGGTGAGGGGCCCGCTGTGCCCAGGGGTCCTCTCCGCCCCTGCAGCACCCCAGTGCAGCTTGCTGGGGGGAGCGAGCCCTCACTAGTCCCTGGTGCAAGCCAGGCCCAGAGAAGACCTAGGTACCGCCAGAGCCCCCTCCAACCTGGAAAGGAGCGGGAATAGGGTGAGGCAGGGCCTGCCCGCCGTCACCGCAGGCCTCACCTGGGCCTGCCCCAGCCTCCATATCCTATCCAAGGGGCCACCGCTGGCCCCAGGGTCCCAGGGAAAGGAGCAAGCACCTGTTCCCACCACTGCCATCACGGATGGCTTCTAGGGGCTGCCTCTGCACCACCACCCCACGGGAAGCTGTCAGGGGCTTGGAGGCCACGAGCACCCCACACCCACAGAGAGGGACCCCTGAAGTGTGCAGGCAGGCCTCTGGGTGCTGCCAGGAGGCCAGACACATGAGAAGCTCTGTCCCCACACTCCGCTCCTGTGAGCTGACCCAGAGCCCCGCCTGGGGGGCCTGACCTTTGGGTTCCCCCCAGCAGGAAGGCTTGGCCGAGCCAACGGGATGAGCTTTTCTTCCAAATCTGAGCGATGGGGCAAGAGCCTCCTGGGAGCAGAGCCCAGCTCCCAGCTCGAGGACGTGTTTGCACCACTCCCTCCATAGCAGGCCTCACCCCCGCCCCCAGCTTTCCCCAGAGCCGGATGCAGCCCCCAGCGCCCCCCCTGTTATAGCTGCACACCAGCCCTTTGCATCCTAAGAGCTTCTCTTCTGCTCCCCGTGGGACACAGATGGGGGGAACAACGGCTTCCAGAATCCTACACAGTTTTTCCATGTCTGGACTGTGGTCTGTGGCTGTGGGATTCCTTTAAGATACGAACTGGAAGCCCCGCTGGGCTCCTGTCCCCAGGGGAGGTGGTGACTGCCTCCATCTGGCCAGAGCGCTCAGTCCGCCCCCAGAAGGCCGTTTTCCCAGCTCTGCAGCCGGACTGCCTCCAAGATGGGGGAATGGAGACTCCTTGCACCCAAGCTGGGCCTTTGCAAGCCGGGACCTATTGCTCCAGGCCTCCGTCCCAGCCCCCAGGCACGGCTTCCCTTCAGCAGCTCCTCCCACACACTTGGTAGATCTGCCTCAGTGGAGCGGTGCTGTTGTCGCTCCTGACCAGAGAGGGAGGTGGCATGGACACGGGGCTCGCCGGCCCTGACACGTGGTGACCCCGTGTTGGCTTCTCTGCCACCATGGCACGCTCCAGTCCTACCCCAAACAGCGCTGACAGCATTCACTTACTGCACGCATGCTGACGTCCTGTGTGCCCAGCCCTGGCACAGGTGCAAGCCCCCAGGTGGCGTGGTCGCTGTACGCACTGTGTCTCCTCTGGGGACAGACACGCACAGGCCCTGAGCAGTGAGGGTGGACTCGGTGAGGCCGTGAGTGCCAGCTGAGGCCCGATGCGTGGGAGGGGTGATGAGGATGTTCGTCATCGTGGAAAGAGCCGGTCAGCTGGGCTCGTAGCCCTTGCCCAAATCCCTGGCTGAGCCTGGGGGCACTGCCAGCCCACACCCCTGCCCGCAGTCCAGCCTCCCTCCCAGCGGACCCCTGTCCAGTGTGGCCCCCCATCCTGGTCCTCTAACTGGTCCCTTCTTGCCCAGTTCCATAGTTCTCATGGCGTCAAAGGGAAGATACATCTCCAGGGGCCCATGGACTCGAGTGCTGGAGAAGCTTGGGGCAGACAAGGGTCTCAAGTTGAAAGGTAAGGTTAGAGTGGGGTTCACACCAACTCTGAAGGGGGCACCTGGTGCGTGGGCAGGTACCCCGTGCTGGGGCTGGAACACTTGCCCACAAGCACAACCCTGGGCAGGGTGCTGCCTGTGTCCCCTCCACACGACAGTGACCATCTTAGCTCATGAGCAGACGCTGGGAGGAAATTAGTGTCACTCTCCCATCTACTCAGGAAGTAACCCTTTCCCACCCCGAATATCAGCAGGATACCGACTGGGTCTGACCCCCCAGCCCAGTTCCTGCCGCAGACCAGCCAGGGGCCCTTCCTCTCCCTCCACCTTCCAGCAGAGAGCCAGCCCCCGCCCAGCCTGCTGCAGCTTGCAAAGCTCTTGTTTATCCTCAGAGGCAGGGAGCAGAGGAGGAAATGAAAGCCCAGAGAATCCATGCGGCTTGTCCAGGGTCACCCAGCACTGGCCACAGAGTCTAGCACAGACCCCAGGGAATAGCCAGCAGGGCAGAAATGTCAGCCTGGCACTTGTCACCACCCTCGCATGCTGTGCCCAGATGTAGTCCTTGGGAGCGGCCAGAGGGGATCAGGGTGAAGCTACAGATGATGACAGCCCGCCGTGGCCTCCTGTTATGTCGGCCCTGCACCGTGCTGAGCCGTCTATAGTCACCTTCTTAGTCATGAGTGACCCATGCCGCAGGTCAGGAAACTGAGAGTTAGACAGTGAAGTAACTTGCTTAAGATTAGACTTTGGGTCCTGATTTTTCTAGTTCAAAGGCAGGATTCTTAGCTGCTGTGCATCCTAACTATGACAAACACCAGAGTCAGCAGCCCATCACAGGGGTCGTTTAGTCCAGAGAAAAGTCAGAAATAAGGAAGACCCTTCAAATGAGCTAAAATGAACCCAAGGCAAAGAGAAGCACCTTCTCCAGCCCAGCCTGGGATCATCTGGGGGCCTCTGTCTTTAAAACTAAGAACCTGTTGCCAAAAGCTGATGTACATAAGGTGACCTAAGTCGAGTGGTACTTAACAAGGGGTGATAAATGTGTGCTGTCTGCCAGGCTGGGCCCTTCCTGAGCATGGAGCCCCATGTGCCCCAGACAGTCAAGATCTGAATGCATGGGGCTGAGGGGCCAGTGTTCTGGTCTGGACTGCACCTTTCCCTCTGTGCCTTTGGACAAATGCCTTCTAGAGCCACAGAATGATAGAGCTGGGACCGAGATCTTGTCCATGAATGCCATCGCTTGACAGATGGGGACACTGGAAGTCAGGGCAGGCAGGGACTTGTTGGTGGCCGTAGGATCAGCTGGAAGGGGGCTGGGGCTCCTGGGAGATCTCCTGGGTAAAGCAGAGCCACCGCCCGGCACCTGTGGCCATGAGCGCAGGGGAGATGCGTGCTCTGCCCGTACCAACAATGGTCTGGTAGCATCAGTAGTTGGGCACAGAGCTCTTCCCAGGGTGACAGACTCCACGGAAACTAAGAGAGGGGTGCCTGGAAGGGACAGGGCAATGGCGGTAGGGAGCGCTGGAAGGTGTGGGGTGTAGCCTTCCTCTCCTGGGGTTCCCACTCACGTGACTCATCATTGCTTTGCAGAGAAAATGGCATTCATCGGCTTCAAAGGCAGCTTCCGGCCCACGTGGGTGACCCTGGACACTGAGGACCACAAGGCCAAAATCTTCCAAGCTGTGCCCATCCCGGTGGCGAGGAAGAAGAAGCTGTGAGGACAGCCCCCCCCGGTGGGCCATGTGGCTGCCCAGGGCAGGACAGCTGGCTGCCCAGCACCGTGCAGGGCCAAGCAGCAGCCCTGATGGGCTGAGGGAAGGACATCAGACTCTGGGGCTGCCACCTGGTCCCCAGCGTCCACTTCTGCTGCAGGGCTGGGGCACTTCTCTGCTATCTGTGCCCCTTCAGGGTGGGTGTGGGCACTGCACAAGGAGACAGGGCTGTGCAGGCACAGGGCCCGCTCGGCAGGAGCCCTCCTCCAGCGAGGAAGTGGTCTGGGCGCTGGGCTGTGCACGGATGCCCATGCACACTGGCATATCAGTGGCAGCTGTAGGAAACAGCCCCGGTCTTAAGGAAAACTTCATTTCTGTAAGCGAGAGCCAGCCTTCTCGGGATTAGGAGCTCGCGCAGACCGAGCTCACCGAGATGGAACCAGGTTCCCTTGGGACAGAGGTGAGCCCTGCCTCAGGGGTCCACCCTCCAGGGACTCCGGGTCACAGGACTCCTGGGAGCTGGGCCAGGTGACTTCTAAAGGCCCTTTCGGTTCTGAGCCCCCGGAAGCCTATGCTTCATGCACTGCAGCCGGAGCCCAGCGGCAAATGAGGGCATCCCTTCCAGCCGGCGTCCGGGGTGCCATGTGCCGCGGGCGCATGGGCAGGGGTGAGAAGAATACCTCAAGTGAGGGGCTCGCACTCTGGTCTGGTCGGAGAGGCGGTCGGACACCAAGCAGAGAAGACAAATCAGATCAGACGGAGACCGGGGCCAGTTCCGAACAGGGAAACTTCCAGCATGGGTGGGTCAGAAGCTTCCTGCGGGATCAGGCCCTGGGAATGAAGGGCAGGGCATTTTGTGGGCAGAGATGGGCAGCCTCCAGAGTGGGTCAAGGCCAAGCCCTTCCTGCCCCATCGCCCGAAGCTGGGGGACTGCAGGGGCTTCCTTGGCTGGTGGCTCGCTGGCCCACCCGCAACAGAGAAGCGAGCATCAGGCGGGAGGAGTGCCCCGAGCCTGCAGCCCCCGAGCTGAGGAACCGGGGCCCGGCCACCCCCGCCTCAACTCCAAGAGGGTGGCGTCAGGCGGGGAGGCATGGGCTCCTCATTTGTTCTGCGTCCGGGGACCTAAGCAGAGGATCCCCCTGGGAGACCTGAGAATGTGCTGGGTCCCCGTGAGCCTGGGGTTCCAGAGCTGGAAGGACCTTAGAAACCACCCAGTCCAAAGCCTCCATGTTTCTGACGTGGCCTGTGAGACCCTGACATGGGGAAGAGCCACAGGCCAGGGCACGGCCAGGATGCACGCCCATGGCTAGCACCTGCCGTCACACCACGTGGCCTCAACACCAGCCCCAGGGGCTCCGGGCACCACAAGGAGCCTCCCGAAACGGGGACACATCCTCTCGAGGGGAAAACAATGGCCAGAACAGGAAGGGAATTGGCCGGTGACTGTCCCTCCTGGCCCTGCACACACCAGACCGCCCTCCTCTCGGCCGCGGTGGTCCTGCAGCCTCCACTTTGTCCAGCCCCCTGCCTTCCCATGCGCAGGTGCACAGCCACTGGGCCAGTCCCACTGGGGCTGCCTGTCTCTGCAGGTCTGTGGGTGTGGCCAGCAGACAGCAGTGGGGATCCAGAGCATGTCCAGGGAGCCAGCTTGGCTGAGCTTGGGGGTCTGCAGGGCTGTCGGGCCAACCCTGCAGCTCCCGCTGGGTGCCCTGCTGTCTCCCTTGCCCACCCCAGAGAGAGCTGAGTGCTCCTGGAACACGGGAAAGTCCCCGGGGGCTTATACTCATGGGGTACCAGGGTCGCCCTGGGGCTCATGTGGGACTGTTTTCCCCTTTCCCACCCCAGCCACAAACCCTTTCCTCTCCAGAGGGCTTTCTTGGTGCCCTCTGCCCAGCGCCCCCACAGGACTCAGTCAGTGGCCAGGTGAGGCCGACTGCAGAGGGGTTTTTCACACCAAACAGGTCTTCTAGCTGCCGAGAGGGGCAGTGGGATTCCGCCTCTTCACACGGGGCAGCGTGTGAGGCCCACCCCAGGCCAGGGCCTCTTCTGGGCAGAGCGTGGCCGTAGGGAGGAGACTCAAACGACCTCATGGTCTTCTTGCCTACAGTTTTTCGAAATCTTTTAATGCAAGGGTCTCACACTGTGAACCGCTGAGGATGTGATCACTTTAGGTGGCCAGGAATGTTGACTTGTCTCTGGTTCAGCTCGTATCAAAATGTGTCTGTTTGGAAATCCTCAGAGTTGTCTGTGTCTAGCAGTGCAGCATCTGTGCAAAGAACTTTCTTTCCTAAACCGTCCACTAAGGGCCAGTGTCCAGGCGTATTCTTGGAGGCACAAATCTTATTGCTTAGAACATCAACGTTGCTCTGTTTGTGTGCGTTAAAACGAGTTAAGCCTTTAAGGAAAGCAACTTGCCTCTGAAATATCTTTTTCCTGTTGCCGAAATAGCTGGTCCTTTTTCGGGAATTAGATGTACGGTGTGTTTTGTATGTAAACATTTCCTGTAGGCGTCACCAAGAACAAAGATATATTTTATATTTATTTATTATATATATGCACTCCAAGGAGTCATTGTCTGAGAAATGAAGACTCGTAGTAATATCCTGTGCGGGGATGTCCTTGGGACCGCCTGGAAGCCTCTGTTGACAGCAGAGGGCACGGCTTTAGCGTGGAAGGTCACGCTGTACCACAGTAAATGCACAAAGGATGTTATCCTGTCTGCTTGTTCTGTTCTCTGTTAACGCGGGCCTCACTTTAAGCCTGGTCTCCAAGGAAAATGAGATTGATGGGACCACCCTATGGGTGTGCCTCTTGCTGCCAAGAACTAGTCCCAGGTCAAAGCCCACCTCGCCCCACCTCAGGGGCTCCCGGAAGAGCAGACTGCAGGCCTGGGGCGCCCGGGACGCACGGTGTAGTCCATGCGCCTATGCCGCCGGCTCGCTGCTGGGGCGGCACCGTCCCCTGAGGGGGTGCCCAACGGGGTCTGGATTCAAAGCAGGACTGTCTCTTCCTCCTGGGCACAGAGTGGCCAGAGATCAGAGGGTCTGAGGAGAGCAGGGAGGCTGAGGTGGAGAAATGGGTCCAAGTCCTGCCTCCAGAGCAGCAGAACAGACGCAGGTCAGACGGGACGGAGGTGGGAGGGTTTACAGGGCCTGCAGAGGAATGAGGAGTGGACCTTAACACAAGGTGGGCCGGGGCATTCCAGAGCGCGCCATCCAGTAGGGCAGCCGCTAGCCACTGGTTTAAATTTATTAAAATTAAATACAATTAACGATTCAGTTCCCTGGTTTTGTTCCCCACATTTGAAGGGCTCAATAGCCCACGTGGCAAATGGCTGCCGTATTGACAGGGCAACTGTTAGATGCTTTCCAGAGAGCAGCTGGGTTCATGCTGGACGAACCATGCCCCTGATGTATGTGCACACATGTGTGTGTGTGTGTGTGTGTGTGCGTGCACAGGTGTGGGTCCCCAGTCCACCTGAAGGGGCTGGCATCAGATGGGCAGCATTGAGTTGTCAATAAAATCTTCAGAGCAGCTTCACTCTGCCCCCAAGAGCCCCACTGGGGGAAGCAATCGCGTCTGCACACTCATCCAGCAGATATTTTTGTGCACATGCTCTGTGCCAGGCACCGCACAGAGAAACGTCCGAGCCCCTGACGAGGTGGGACCACTGTTGCCTGGAGCGCCAGAGCCGTGGAGTCGGGTGGGGCTGCAGTGTGTGGGCCTCAGGGGCAGGCGGGGAGGGGCCTTGCCAGAAGAGGCACAGGCCGGGCAGAGGGGAGGTGACCGGATGTGTGGGCTTGAGGATGGCTGGGTGAGAACTGGAGCAGTCATGAGAGGAAGGTGGGTGGGCCAGACACTCAGGATTCAGGCACGCAGGAGGGCCCTAGAATCTCGGAGGGCTGGCCGTACCCCTCTAAGGAAGGCAGGGTTTCTCCCCCCTCCCTCCCTGTCTGTCTGGCCCCAGGTACACTCGTGCACCTAATGTCTCCCAGCCTAGGGCTGTAACCAGTCCCACGGTGCAAACCCAGGGTTACTGCCCCGACTGAAGGGTGGGGTCCCTGAACATTATTCACTTAATTTGCAAACAGTCCCCTCCTCCAGCTGGGACTCTGCTAGCGCTCTGTATATGATTCGCCCTACAAAGTAGGATGGAGGGAAACGCCAAAAGAAAAGTGGGCGGGACCGACGGACAGCAAAGGAGATGTAAGTGGGAAATAACTGCGCTCAAAAATTCAACCTCCTTGGTTATTATGAGATGCAAATGGAAACAGCCGAGAGATGCTGTGAATCACCTATCACAGTCAGATATTCAAGGGAACGCCAAAGGACAAGAAGAAATGGACACTCGCCTGGTGACCGAATCATTAGGTACGACTCTCCCATAAAGCGATTCGGTTTTACGTAAGTTTTGAAAATGTGAGTAGGCGTTGGCTCCAAAATTCCGTCCTGAAAAATGAGCTCCAGGGGTGCACAGGATTTGTTACCAGCGTGTTCCCTGCAGCATTTTTATATGGTGAAAACTCTAAAACAATCTAAATAGTCAACAATCAGATTGCTTGAATTGAGGTACAATCCCTTTCCCAAAATAAAGACTAAAAATGACTTGAAATGTTGATATTTACTAAAGCTGGGTGATAAGGCGTGTGGATTCATCATACCCATTCACTCTACTTTATGTGTGTGCACATGTAACATATTTCCATGATAAAACACTTCTGAAACTTCAAAATAACTGTTTTAGAAAGTACTTGGCATTATGAATCAAGAGCCCTAAAAAGAGTCCTTTTCTTCAACCTACAAATTACTCATCGGGAATTTAACCTAAGGAAACAAAGCTTAGGTACAAAGGCGTTCGCTGTGGCATTATTTATAATCATTAGACAGCTTCAAAGGGCCTGAATGTTCAACTACTCGGGAATGACTAAATAAATATGGTCTCAAAACATAAAATGCCCCTGAAGACTTGGAGGTGTGTAGCCTGCCTCCGCCCGAGGCCACGCTCCCGTCCTCTGTCACGGGCCGCCGCTTTCACAGCCTCCTGGCCTCCCTCCCTCTGCGTCCTCCGTCCCCCCACCCCACCCACCTCGGTGCCTCTTCCCTTGCATCCCCCGCACCACCCTGGGGTCTGCATCTCAAAATCCCCAAGAACTAGCCTGTGAGGGTGAACTGCTCCTGATCAGCCTGTGCCCTTGGTACAATCCCTTTGGGAACGTTGGGCCACCTGCAGTGCCTGGGAGGTGAAGCTCTGGCCCAGGGCATTCACTGATTTAAAACTAGAATTTAAAATTAGGAGTCCAAAGGCAGAAAACACCGTTCTCCACAGGGGACCCTGAAAGGGAAGCACCATCCCAGGGAGCTCATCAGGCAGGTTCTATCCCAGGGGGCCAGGGGTCGAAGTGTGCCCCTCTTGTCCTGTCTCCGCCGGACACCGGCACGTAAATGCCACGCCTGGCAGAACTCACCACCCTGTTGATAGAAGAGGCGAGGCCCAGGACATCACATACGCGCTCAAGGTCATCCGACGGGGGGGGCTAGAGTGGGAGGCTAGGATCAAAGCGGCCCCAGTGAGTCCAGGCCCACCGCTAAAGCCTCGCTCCCCGCCAGGAAGAATGCCGCCGGCTGGGAAGAGCAGATGCAGGGGAGACCAGATGGCCCCAGGAATTCCCCACATCCCAGGACAGCGGCCTCCTCGCCCGGGGGCTGCCCAGCTCCCAGCTCCCAGAGTCTCGGCTCAGAGACTGCACCTCGGGCCTCCGGCACGCCCCTCGGGAGGGAGGAACACACGCTGTGTGTGCTGGGGCGCCACGCTCCAAGCTCTGCCGGTCCTGTGCGCTGGGCTGCTCAGGCCCGGGGTGCGCGGGGATTTGAGTGACAGGCTCACCGGCAGGCCTGAGCCAGTCACCAAGACCTCCGGGGCTCACCACGGGGCCCTGGCTGCCGGCTCAGATTCCCCCAGGCCCTGGACCACGTGGAGGGCGCCCCCGAGGTTCTGGCTGTGACACCAGAGCTGTGGGACCTCCTGGAAGGTGCCCCCCCCCCGGGAATCCCCTCGTCCCGGCAGCTGCAGTGACCTGCAGCCCCTCCAGGCGGGGGCAGCTCTGCCCCGCGTCTTCGCCTTTCGGGGTACAGCCACCTCGCTGCAGAGAGGCACCGAGGGGCGCGGCCCCAGGAGCTGGGGGCAGCGGCCCCCGCCTGACGGGCAGCAGGCCGGCTCTGCTCTCGCATACACGGCGCTGGGCGGGCGGCCAGTCGCTGGCCCCGCCTCCGTGGCCCGTGCGGGCTTCCTCCGCCCCCCCAGGGGGCTGCGGTGGGAAGGGCAGCCTCGGGGGCGGCACCGCCCGGGCCAGGCTGCCGTTCCGCCGCCTCCCGGCCGTGCCCTTGGCGAGGGCTCAGCCCTTAGGAGCCTCTGCGCACGCACCCAGGGACAACCGCAGAAACCCTTAGACGGCGCCGGGGGCCCCCCGCGGATTTGCTCCTTTAACCGCCACGACCCTTCAGGCGGCGGGAACGCGCACCGGCTCCGCGGGGCGCGGGAAGGAGGCGGCGGCGCGGCCGGGCGGTCCCGCCCCGAGCGGGGCTCTCGCGCCCCCGGCTAGCCGCCGACGGGTACCGGCAGGCCGAGCACCTCAGTCCGCCCCGGTGGGGCTGCAGGGAGGCCGCAGGCCCGGACAGCCCTCCCCCGCCGCGGAGCCCCGCTGCCCGGGTCCGAACCCTGGCTTTGCCCCTTCCTAGCAGCGTGACTTTGGGACACATACCCGGCTACCCCCGGCCGCGGTCTCGTTGTGCGTAAAGCGGGGCTCACAGTGCATCTGCCGCCCCGGATCAGGGCGTGCGGGGCGGTACGCACGGGTCAGAAAACCCTGCCGGCGTCGGCGAGGAGCTCAGCAGAGGGGCGTCTGCGGATTCTCACCCGTTTCTGGCAGGAGGACGGACACCAGGTGAGTCGGCGCGCCTGGCGTCCCGCGGGTGGGCGGCGGGTGGCGCGCCGGGCCGGGCCGGGCTCTGCTGCCCCCTGGCGGGCGCCCCGCGATATGCAGACTCGCCCGCGTGCGGCGGGGCCGCCGGCGGGTGATGCCCTCGGGGTGCGGCCAGGTGGCGGGCGCCGCTGTGAGGCCCGCGCCCCTCCCGGATCCCGCCTTTGCCGCGAGCAGGGCGCCCGCGGGCGCTGCGAGCGGGACAGGACCCCCGCGTGAGGTCCGTGCGCGCCGGGGGCAGGCGCCGGGGGCAGGCGCAGGGGGAGGCGCGGCGCGGTCGGCCCTGCCGTCCACAGCGAGAGGCCGTCGATACCCTCGCCTCCTCCGCGCCCTCTCCCAGGGGGCCCCCGCTGCGCTGGGTGTGCAGCTCGGCGCCTGCTCTTCTGGACGCGGCCTCCCTGCCGCCCCCCGCGAGGCCCCCCAAGCGAAGAGCCCGCTCTCTGCCCCCCAGGAAGGCTCCTCGGCCGGGCCCGGGCCTCACCCACTGGTCACCGGGTATCTCCCGGTCGCGCCACAGGGAGGCATTGTTTCCTCGGGTTTCACAGCCAAGGGGTTAATTTCTGGGTTCAAAAAAGGGCAGACCACACAGCCGGGGAGGATGAAGGCCCCGTCGTCCCCCGGACAAGCCCCCCTTCCAGGAGGCCTTGACCACGGCCCGTGACCCTGTCCCAGCAAAGAATTCGCAGAACCTCCCGACCCTGGACATCCGACCGCGCTCCTCCGGGTGATTTTCCACCCGTGGGCGCAGCTGTCCGCCTGCACAGCCCCCGCTGTCCCTGCTGGGCGCGGGGCCCAGTTCGCAGGCTCTTTCCCCTGTGGCGACCGTCCCGAGACGTCTTCCGCTTTGCCATGTTTAATGAGTGTCCTGTACAAGATTTTTTCCTTAGCAGAGGCCACCAACAGAATGAGAGGTAAAAGAAAAAGTAATTTTCACAGGAGGAGCTGATTTTTATTAATCCCAGAGAAAATGAAACCACACTGGTAAACATGGAAATTAAAATAACGTTTAATATCTACTGAACTATGTCTGGCATGCAGGTGATCAATAAATATTCTCAAACAAATACATTAATGGATTTTTAAATGACTTAATTTGAGTGAGTTTCTGGCAGAATTGATGGGTCAGCTTATATGTTGCTGGTAACAGTGTGAGTTGATAAAATCTTTTTGGAAATAAAATACAAGAGCCAGTCCTGTGTTCCAACGATCTTGAAACTGACACTGAAAGACTAGTCTTATGGGGAGAAGTGAGCTACTTTCCATGTAATAGATGAAGAGAGCAGCCATGCCCCGGCTTTACATCTGTGCTTCATTTCTCACCTCTTCAGATGGATAAAGAGAGTAAGAAAAGTTAGAGGGGGGGCGGGGGAGCCGAGGCAGCAATCTCTTCAAATGGCTGTTCTGAAAAGTTTATTAGAAGGATGCAGAGCTCTCACAATTCAGGGACAGCCTGAATAATCAAGACCCAGGAGGTCGGAAACTCCGGGCAGACACAGAAACATCATCACCAACAGAAGTTCTAAGACCTTCATTCTGGTGGTTCCACTGCAAATGACTCAGCTACCAAATTTTTCAGTCTCTTGCCAAGAGAGGATCTGATCTGCCAGCCTGGTGCATGGTGCCCTTGGGCCGACATCGCTTCTGGCCCCAAATGGCCGTGGCCACCCCAGGGAGTGAGAGTCACTCGGCCTGCCGGGGCCGCGCCTTGGAGACAGGGATGGCGGCAGGGACACAGACCAGGCTTATGCCCTTTAAAGTCCCAGGGCCCTGCCTGGAACCGCGGTTTGGCCCGGCTTTCTCCATGGCACCAGCATGTTGGGCACAATCCGGGCACAGTGAAAGGATGCGAGTATCACATGGCCACTGAATGTTGGACATGGAGACCACGCAGCACAGTGGAAACTTCACTGCAATATAGGGCTAGCTGAACACAAATCGTGTTTCTGTTCTGACTGCGACTCTGTCAATATGAAGGTTGGAGATAATGGCCTGAAAGGAAGCTGGTCAAATGAAAACACCCTGGATAGCTGGGACGGTGCCGGTAGATAAATTTCTTCCTTTTATAGAGCTCTCTTAACATCCCTGTCATTATTTGAGTAACAGAAGCATTTCTGTTCTTCCTCGGAAAGAAAGAACCTGGGCAGCCAGGGAATGTGAACTTTAAAACACGAAGCAGCATTAACCAGTCAGCTGGCCTCAGGTCGTGGGCTCGCCCCGCTTGCAGAGCTGGGCCTCACTGCCCGCCCTACGCCCTGCTCTGTCCCACCGCTTTTAACATTTTTATCTTCTGCTCACCCGTTATCTTTGACACGAACTTCATTTTTTAAATCCAGCATTAAAACTTTTATCTTGGATACTGAGTTCTGTGATGCTCCTTATATTGTGTGCCTCCCCTCGTCCTAGGCCTGCGCCGGCCAAAAGGGCATTTTGCACGGCTTGTCCTTTGGCAGGAGCAGCAGAAAAAAATGGCTATTAGACACGAGCAAAGCAAAGGGCCCTCCAGCCAGACCCTCCCTGGGGAGCCAAGGGACAGAGGCCCACAGCTAATCTGAACTCTGAAGGCCGGACAGTCAACCTCCTAGGAAGGCGGTTGCTCGGTCCCCCTCTGGGGAGGAGGGCCACCTTGTCTAGGACACAGAGTCCACCTGCCCAGTAATGGCCTTGCCTGAGCACCCCCCTCCCTTTACTGCTCGGCTATGGAAAAGCTGAAAGCACTACCAGCTCTTGAACTGCAATTGAATCCAGGGATATGCGGCTCAGATAAGGAGGGACAGGGTCAGAACTCACCTAAAATAGACGCTGGAGGCCAAGGTCTGGAAAAGCCGTGTCTGCTCAGCATGAACACAGGGGAAAAAACAAAGTTGTGGCATCTCGCCAAACATTTTGCAATTAGGACAAAGCAAAAGAACATACACACAAATACAGGCAAAAAACAAAAAACCGAGGTGGAGATTCTCCATTTGGACTTTTTGAGTAATAAAAACAGCTCAGTGATTGTATCCATGTCAAAATTCATAGATCTGTACACTAAGATTTGTGCATTTTATTGTATGTACCTCAATATTAAAAAACTCACTTCAGAGTTTAGGAAAAAAATTGGTGCCTAAACACCAACACAAAACTAAAAATAAGTTACTAATAGAAGATACATCTTTCCAAAATGATGCAACAACTCAAAACTGAATACGCAGTTGGAAATGGCACACCACATTCTAGGAGACAAAAAAAAAAAATTCCAAAAAATCAACGCTAAGGCTTTCCTAGTAAAATTCCTGAATGTCAGGAATGAGGAAGGGATGCTGGATAATCTGATGGAAAAAGCAGGTACATTCCAGAGGAAAGATAAAGCTGGCCTCAGTTGTGTCAGTGGAGCAATGGATGTAACTATTTGTACTGTTAAACTATAAAACAAGAATCAGAATCAGGGAGACAGAAAGTTCGTGAATTTCCCCCATTGACAGGGGTTAATATGTATTATCCAATTTGGTTTAATGAAAAAAGTAAAAGGAGTCTGACATTATAAATGAAACCACCAGAAGTACTAAAAACTGCAGCATAACCATCACAAACCAGAGGGCATGAGGATGAAGGGTGGCAGGTGTTTGCCTGATTCAGTTCTTGGGTTTCAGAGCTGACAGTCCTAAAAGACGCTGTGCAAGCGTTACTACATCAACAGACACTGAAGCAGAAAAAGTGACCCTCGGCCCACGTGTAGGTGTCTACCCCCCACCTCCCTGAAACACGACTGTCTCTTGTTAATGAGTCGGATGGCTTTGGGGCAGCTCCTCTCTGCTGCCTGCATGGTGGGGGTGTCTTGAGGCTGGGCTGGAAGCGCGGAAGGCTCCTGTGTTGGCACCTGGACTGGGAAGACAGAGCTGGGGCCGAACAGGTGGGGCTGCCCAGCATGTCTCTGCATGGCTGTTGTGGGCGTCCCCTCCAGGGTGGCGGCTACAGGGCAGCCAAGGTCCTGTACCCTGTGGGACCGTGCAGGTAACCCATGGGCGATCCCACCATACCACCACCCTGCTAATGCGGGCCGCCTTCAACTCTGGCCCAAGCTCCTCAGACACCCTCCAGACCTGCCTCGCACACCCACTGGTGCGCCTTCCCAGTTCTTCCGTGCAGCCAGGTGCCGACTGGGTTCTCTCTCGTTCCCGCCCGACTGCAGCTTGGAAGTCTTCAGGGCATCCCACATTCCTGAGAAACCTGTCTGCCTCTTCTCTCTGAGCCTGGCCCTGGGCAGTTCCCCCATCTCCTCACTGGTCACTGGCTGTTCCACCACCCCTCCTCTGCTACTTCTAACCACAGAGCCTCTGCCTGAATCACTCAGGGCCCCCTCTCCTCTTCCTGCTGCAGGGAGGTCCCCACCCACTTCTGGGCCCTGGGTACTTTCATCTACCAGCTGCCACTTACCTCCTATCTGATCATATTGGCCCTTCCTCACCAAATCATTATGCTTCCGATGGCAGGGCCATACCACCCTGTCCCCGGCACCTAGCAGTGCCAGCATGTGATGGACACTCTGGGAACACTGGGGCGGCCGCGGCGCACAGGAAGCCGAGGCACAGCCTGGCGTGGGAAGACGTGTGGTGGAAACGAGGCCCAGGGCGGTGCGCAGGGAGTGCTACCTTCTGTTCAGTTAATGCGGTTACCCGATCCAGTGATTGATCCGTGCTGGCTACAGATGGCAGAGACCCGGGCCGTCCCAAGTGAACACTGGGAACACCTAGGGACGTGCTGGCTTCAGACCCAGCCGACTTCAGGGGCACAGGACCCTTAGGATGCGTCACGGTCCCTGACCAGGCCCCCTGCGCCCTGCTTCTCCCCAAGGCTGGTGCCGGCTCCACCCTCGGGTGAAACTGCAGAGAAGCCACAGCACCCTTCCTGAGGCCCAGGGGTGGCCTGGAGGCAGGGGGCCTGCAGGGCAAACTTCCTGTCCAGAGCACAGACGTGACTCGGAGAGGCTGTGCTGCATCAGAGGGCAGTGTGGTACCAAGGGAAGGGAAGCAGATGCCGTGAGGCCAAAGCACACACGTCACTGTAAGTGGCTAAGTGTCCTTTTCTTTTTGGAAACAAATTAATAGTCGCTTCCCCTGGGACCAGGCAGACCTCTCATTCTGTACCATTCAGTACGAGAGACACTTTCTAACCATGTACATGTGCTGCTTTTGTTAAAATCACAATGAAATTTTTTACACATAATTTTAGTTCTCAAAACTGACACCTTCTAAGTTCCGTGACTGACTCACAGTAGACGCTGACGTAGGAGCAGAACTCGGAGGTTAATAGCGGTGCGACACGTTACTACTACACAGACCACCACCGGTTCAGGCACTTTATCAAAGGTGTTCATAAGCACACGAGGCTCCCAGTCCTCTGCCACGCTGCGGAGGACTCTGCCAACTCCCAACCCACACCCTTCAAAACCATCACATCAAAGGAAAACACGGACCCCAACACCAGCATTACCGTTTCCTAAATAAGGACACACAACGGAACCCCTGGACTTCACAGACCACATAAACCTGACTGACACCGAGTCCTCTTTGGCAAGAGGGATTCAAGTCAAAGAAACTCAAAGTAAAACTAAGGATTTCCAAGTCACATTATTTCTGCATAGGTTCGGGATTTACACACCCTGGCGTCTTGACTGAGTATTTAGATGCCAGAGTCCCTGTGGCACATTTTGCGTTCACACCCATGAGGATGATGTTTGCGGCACAAAGAGCCGATTTGTTAAGTCGAGAGTCTCAGGAGTTTGACCAGAACCTGGTGCCCTTCGGCTAACAGACGGCACAGCAGGCCACCGGCGCAGAGTGGGCACAGCGGGGCCACGGGAGTGTCCGGGACCCCAGGTGTCATGGGGAAAGTGGCACGTCCAGGTGTTCCCCAGATGTGATTTTATAGTGAACTCCCATTTGTCCATGTTCAATGTTAGTGACAAACTTGTCTTATGTCAAGGCTTTTAAACGGTGATGTACTTACACTGACCACAAACTGGCCAGGATCCCACGGGTGCGCAGGTGCCCGGCCCCCCCACGCCCCTGGCCGGCTGCCCCACTACAGGTCTTCTCTTTCACCCCTGGCTCGGTTGTCCTCCTTGGAGGCCCGAGCTTCAGGGTCCCCCTCCTTCTTCCTGCCCTTCTCCCGCTTCGTTTTATTCTTCTCTGGGCCTCCTCCTTTGCCGGGGTACACCTGTCCCTCCAGAGTCACGTCGGCACATCTGTCTTGACTGACCAGGAAGTCCTTGATCTCCCAGGCATAGCCCCCGTCACGCAGCATGAAGATGGCGCGGTCTGACCCCACGATGAACCTACAGAGACAGGGCGGCGGTCAGCACACAGCAGAGAGGGCGCAGAGCCATTTGCTGCACTTCAAACAACTCCTTTTTACCGTGAAATAATTCAAGTTCTACATGAATACAGAACAAAAAATTGTACTTTCCAAGACCTAGTAGCTACTGACATGGAATGTGTGAGGATACAGTTGGCCCTGGAACAATGCAGGGGTGAGGGGTGCCGAAACCCACAGCTGAAAATCCCTGTATAGCTTCTGGCTCCCGATTACTGAACTACTAACAGCCTACTGCTCACTGGAAGCCTTACCTGTAACATAAAGCCAATTAACAGGTATTCTGTATGGTATCTGTATTCTAACAGAGTCAGCTAGAAAAAAGAAAATGTTTCAAATTGTTGCAAGTCTCCACAAAAAATTCCAATATATTTATTTAAAAAACCCACATATACATGGACCAGCCCAGCTCAAACCCACGCTGCTCAAGGGCTCCCCGTACAGCCAACTGAACTATTTAACCCCTCGGCTCAATCGACACAGACAGAACCTGGGCGTGCCGGAGAGTGGGGTGTGGCGGGGGGAGTGGTGGTGCTGGTGCTGAGCAGCGCAGGGGGCTCCCTGGAACACTGCAGACGCATCTCAGGGGCCGCTGGGGATGCCAGGAGGTGCCGTCGGACCTGTGTTACTTTCCGAGGCGCCCACTGAAGGTGCCACTTGACAAAGTCCTGTTGATAAAGACCGAGGACTTCTGGTTTAGACCGGGTCACAGGAAGGACCCACAAGGGGCTATGAGGACACTCAGATGCCAGCCAGAAATCCTGACCCAGAGGTTATCAGAGAGCAGCCCACGTACACGCACCTTCAACACGGTGTGTCCCAAGGAGCAACAAGGAAGAGCGTGAGGCCCAGGGGGACCACCAGTGTGGCCGGGAGGCGCGAGTCTTCCGTTCCTGAAGGGCTGCACTCCCACCCCCTTCTGTTCAGGACACCCCCCCCACTCAAGATGGGGGCTAGTGCTGGACCAGGGCCACCGAAACACTCATTTGCTTCCCTAAGTGTCCATCTCAGCAAACGAAAGCTCGCTGTCACCCCGGCTCTCAGCATCCCTTCAGTTCTTTATTCCTTTTCAACTTCCTAAGCAAAGGCACAAAGACCCTCCACTTCAGAACTGTTACTAGGAGGCGAAAAGAAATTCCTTAAATCGCACCTCAGGACCATCCTGAGCTGCAGAAGCTGGACGCCTCACCGTAACTCGGGGGCCTGTTAGGAGACTGGGCGCGTTGCCCGTGTGACCACGGCCTCACAGGAAGCACACAGTCCGGCTGTGACACCCCCTCCCCACTGGGGCCAAGCTGCACACCGTCTACTCGGGTGACATAAAGGCTAAGGACACAAGGTCCAGCAGGACTCTGGGAACTGATGAGCTGTGCGGAACAGCAACTTACTGGCCTTAACCGGTAACGAGTGTTCCGCTTTAAAAATAAATTAGGAATAAAGCAGTGTGACAGAGGACACCCGAGTAGGAAAGGCCCAGGGCCCGGGAAGGACAGCCTGCCAGGGCTCAGCGGGCAGGCAGCCTCCGCCTGCCCCAGCAGGGCCCTGGCGCCTCACCTCTGCACGTCGTAGTTGGCGTTGAAGAGGCTGCCCTGCCACAGGCTGGTGATCTCCTCCGTCTCCTTCTCCGTGGGGCTCCCCGACACGGTGGCGAACATCATGAGCGTCTTCCCCTTCTTGGTCATTCTCAGGATGCTCTCGGGCTTGCCCGGGTCTATCTGTGAGAAGTCGATGGGGGCTGAGGGTCTCTTGTGCTCTGGGAGATCGCCTTCTTCGATGTCATCATCCTTCTACGGGGGGCAAGGGGGAGAAGCACGAGAACCGTCAGGAAGGACCTGCCCCGGACGCAGCAAGAGCTTGTGCCCGTCAGGTGCAGGCTGGTGACCCAACTAAGAGGGGAAGGGCGCCCAGGGGTTTCCTCCTCTATGTGATTTTCACACCAAATCCAATTCCCGTCAGCACTTTAGCTGCCCATCAAAGTTTTGCTACTCAGGGTACCCTCCTTCTTCCTGCCCTTCTCCCGCTTCGTTTTATTCTTCTCTGGGCCTCCTCCTTTGCCGGGGTACACCTGTCCCTCCAGAGTCACGTCGGCACATCTGTCTTGACTGACCAGGAAGTCCTTGATCTCCCAGGCATAGCCCCCGTCACGCAGCATGAAGATGGCGCGGTCTGACCCCACGATGAACCTACAGAGACAGGGCGGCGGTCAGCACACAGCAGAGAGGGCGCAGAGCCATTTGCTGCACTTCAAACAACTCCTTTTTACCGTGAAATAATTCAAGTTCTACATGAATACAGAACAAAAAATTGTACTTTCCAAGACCTAGTAGCTACTGACATGGAATGTGTGAGGATACAGTTGGCCCTGGAACAATGCAGGGGTGAGGGGTGCCGAAACCCACAGCTGAAAATCCCTGTATAGCTTCTGGCTCCCGATTACTGAACTACTAACAGCCTACTGCTCACTGGAAGCCTTACCTGTAACATAAAGCCAATTAACAGGTATTCTGTATGGTATCTGTATTCTAACAGAGTCAGCTAGAAAAAAGAAAATGTTTCAAATTGTTGCAAGTCTCCACAAAAAATTCCAATATATTTATTTAAAAAACCCACATATACATGGACCAGCCCAGCTCAAACCCACGCTGCTCAAGGGCTCCCCGTACAGCCAACTGAACTATTTAACCCCTCGGCTCAATCGACACAGACAGAACCTGGGCGTGCCGGAGAGTGGGGTGTGGCGGGGGGAGTGGTGGTGCTGGTGCTGAGCAGCGCAGGGGGCTCCCTGGAACACTGCAGACGCATCTCAGGGGCCGCTGGGGATGCCAGGAGGTGCCGTCGGACCTGTGTTACTTTCCGAGGCGCCCACTGAAGGTGCCACTTGACAAAGTCCTGTTGATAAAGACCGAGGACTTCTGGTTTAGACCGGGTCACAGGAAGGACCCACAAGGGGCTATGAGGACACTCAGATGCCAGCCAGAAATCCTGACCCAGAGGTTATCAGAGAGCAGCCCACGTACACGCACCTTCAACACGGTGTGTCCCAAGGAGCAACAAGGAAGAGCGTGAGGCCCAGGGGGACCACCAGTGTGGCCGGGAGGCGCGAGTCTTCCGTTCCTGAAGGGCTGCACTCCCACCCCCTTCTGTTCAGGACACCCCCCCCACTCAAGATGGGGGCTAGTGCTGGACCAGGGCCACCGAAACACTCATTTGCTTCCCTAAGTGTCCATCTCAGCAAACGAAAGCTCGCTGTCACCCCGGCTCTCAGCATCCCTTCAGTTCTTTATTCCTTTTCAACTTCCTAAGCAAAGGCACAAAGACCCTACACTTCAGAACTGTTACTAGGAGGCGAAAAGAAATTCCTTAAATCGCACCTCAGGACCATCCTGAGCTGCAGAAGCTGGACGCCTCACCGTAACTCGGGGGCCTGTTAGGAGACTGGGCGCGTTGCCCGTGTGACCACGGCCTCACAGGAAGCACACAGTCCGGCTGTGACACCCCCTCCCCACTGGGGCCAAGCTGCACACCGTCTACTCGGGTGACATAAAGGCTAAGGACACAAGGTCCAGCAGGACTCTGGGAACTGATGAGCTGTGCGGAACAGCAACTTACTGGCCTTAACCGGTAACGAGTGTTCCGCTTTAAAAATAAATTAGGAATAAAGCAGTGTGACAGAGGACACCCGAGTAGGAAAGGCCCAGGGCCCGGGAAGGACAGCCTGCCAGGGCTCAGCGGGCAGGCAGCCTCCGCCTGCCCCAGCAGGGCCCTGGCGCCTCACCTCTGCACGTCGTAGTTGGCGTTGAAGAGGCTGCCCTGCCACAGGCTGGTGATCTCCTCCGTCTCCTTCTCCGTGGGGCTCCCCGACACGGTGGCGAACATCATGAGCGTCTTCCCCTTCTTGGTCATTCTCAGGATGCTCTCGGGCTTGCCCGGGTCTATCTGTGAGAAGTCGATGGGGGCTGAGGGTCTCTTGTGCTCTGGGAGATCGCCTTCTTCGATGTCATCATCCTTCTACGGGGGGCAAGGGGGAGAAGCACGAGAACCGTCAGGAAGGACCTGCCCCGGACGCAGCAAGAGCTTGTGCCCGTCAGGTGCAGGCTGGTGACCCAACTAAGAGGGGAAGGGCGCCCAGGGGTTTCCTCCTCTATGTGATTTTCACACCAAATCCAATTCCCGTCAGCACTTTAGCTGCCCATCAAAGTTTTGCTACTCAGGGTCACCAAGCACAGGCAGCCCCCATGTGATAGGTTTCCAGCCGTTTCCCTCTCAAAGAACCTACCCAGAATGGAAGATTGTAGAAACGGCCCCATTCAGGTTTGGTGATACAATGAAAAACACTACACAGCAACGATGACACAGGCAACAGATCGCAAAAGAATTAAACTGCGACAGAGCCAGGTTCAGGATTAGATTTGCTACACAACTCGCTATGGGAAGTTCAAGAATAGGCAAAATTAATCTAGGATGACAGAAATTACAGCAGTGGTTGCGTCTGGGAGGGCATTACGAGGGGAACTGAGAAGGGACAAGGGACTCTCTGGGGTGATGGAAATGTTCTATATCATGACAAGGATGTGGGTAGCACAGATGTAACCTTTTGTCAAAACTCTTAAAATCTGCATTTCATGTATATCAATTTCATCTAAAAAATGCAAACTATAAACAAATAATTCTCGTTAGAGGGTTTGGTTTCTGCTGTGGTGTGAGCCAGCAATTCTGAAACTTCTACCTGCAAAGCCTAAGCTTGAGAAAGCAGCAAAGGTACCGAGGGTAGGAGAGCTGGGCTCTTCACCCTGCCAAGGGGAATCACAAATACGCAGAGGGGAGAGCGCACCCCGTGGCATTAGGCTGGACCTGGAGGCATCAGAAGAATTCGTGACTTCTAATTAGGTAGATAGGTAGATTGATAGATGCACCTAAGAGAAGAATCTAAGTATTTTTTCCAGAGTTCCTTAAAGAAAAGGCTAATTCCAGCAAAGGAAACAGATGAGTCCGGAATGTCTTCTTCTATCAGAAAGTAGGAAAGTGCTCAAACGATCATGGGACAAATCACAAGGGCACAGACACCAACAGGGAGCAGTGCACATGAGCCTGATCGGGAATAATCTGAAAATCAAAATAAACAGAGAATGACTTATCACTCTCGCAATACAGTAAGAACCACTGAGTCCATACTGATGTAAAGAAATGAATACATTCTGCTTACAGAAGTCTGCCAACTAATAAACAGAAGACAGGTAAGTAGATGTATTAAAAATACTTAAAAGAAGCAGAGTTCCTTGGAGAAAACACTAATTCCCACAACGAAAGGAAGATGCCACCAGATGGATGCCCCTTGACAGCGTTCTGGTCAATGAAAAGAAGCCTGTGCATTACAGGACTCCAGTGACAAGAAGTGTCCAGAGCAGGCAGACGCCGATGCAGAAAGCAGGCCGGCAGCTGTCTGGAGCGGGACGGAGCCTGGGAGCCACTGGGGGACAGCTGACAGGGGCTGCGCGATGAAAACATCCTCAAACTGTTGTGGAAATGGTTGCAAAACTCTTCAGAAACATACATCTTAAGTGGGTGAATCATAAGGCATGTAAATTATATCTCAATAAAGCCGTTACAAAATACAAAAAAACACTAAAATGAAACAAAAGCTCCTATATCACTTTTACTTGGTCTTTTTTACAAATCACTGAGGGGCCCAGGCTCAAGACACTAATAACAACATACTGTATTCAAAGTATTTTTAATAAAAGATGAGAACAAAAGAATCTAAGGCAGAGCTCGGAATGGGATCTGTATCTCCATCAGGCCTGGGCCCCCACCCGGCCCCGCTCGCTACCTGCACCTGCTCCTCGACGCCTGCAGAGGACCGGGCAGCAAGGGACCCCCAAGGCCCCCTCCATGACCACACGGCACACGAGCCTCATTCCTCCCCCTGCTTCCTCAGTCAATTCTTGGAACGACTCCGAGGTGGGTACTACTAACACCTCAAACAGACAAGCTCTCTGCCAGTCGAAATTCCCAGGCTTAAGAGGTCTGAACAGAGCCCCGTCTATTATTATCTGCACCCCTCTGTCCAGTTCCCACGCGCTCCATCCTCAGCGATGCTGCTGCTGCTCTGATGCCATCTCCTCCCTGCAAAAAGACCCCGAAGCCCGCTGAGATTCCAACTGCACTTTCTTTTTACAGCACGGGCAACTTGTGCTTTGTGGTTATTTTTATAGTCTACCGCTCCTGCTGCCTGCATCCCTTATTCACCTCGCAGCACCTTTTTTTCTGGTCTAGCTCAGGGCCTGGGTATTTCCACGGCAGGATTTCCTCACGAGATGGTATTCTCGCTTTGGGGGTGGCGGGCGTCGAAAACTTTGTTAGGGTCCGAAAAGAGGGCGGGAGATTGCAGAGACAGCAAGGGAAGGAACAGCTGCACGCTGACCCTCTGCGTTAGCGGCCGGCACACTCTCGAATCTACCCCAGTCGTTCCATCAACTGCAGATAAACTTGAAAATACCAGTCAGCTCTCTTCTAGTCCAAAGCATCAGACGGCTTTTTAAACTCACGTCCGAAAGCCTCTATCAAACACACACACACACACAGATAACCACAAAATAATAAAACATCAGTGTTGGAAGGAATCCTCCAGGAAAATCCCATTTTGCAGGTAAGGAACCTGAGGCCACAGTGAGAAGCCGAGTTTCTGACTACTGCACGAGCTCTAAAACTTAACCGAGACAAAGCAACCCCCGTCGGAAGGCCGGAAGGCAGCCCCGTGCTTCTGGTCAGTGACCTCCACCACGGGGGGCCCGCTGCCCGCTGCCGGTGACGACGCGCCCCGGGGCACTCAAGCAACGAGAAAGCCCGCTCCCAAGAGGCAGCCCCCGCTCCTTGAAGTGAAAAACGCGGGTCCCACGAGGCGGCCATCAGCCTTGCTACCGCCCCGCCACCAAAATAAGGCCTCCCACGAAACTACAGCGCGCTCCGGGCGCTCCGCCGGGACGGGAAGGCGGAAACCCGCTGGTCGGGAGGGCGGGACGACCCCCGGGCCCGCGACCGCTCCGCCCGCGGCCTCTGGGTGGGAAGGTCTCCCTCCCAAGCGGGATCGGCCGCCGGGCGTGCGGCAGGCGCACCGGCGGGGCCGAGCGCGGGCCGAGCGGCCGAGGGCGCGGGGCCTGGGGGCTGCGGGCTGGGGCACCGGCGGGCGGCGGGGCGGGGGGTGGAAGAGGCCGGGAGCGCCGCGCACCTCCCACTGCTCCAGCAGCCGCGCCATGTCCGCATCGTTGTAGTCGCGAATGTCCTTCTTCTTGCGGGCCGGTGCGGCGGCCTCGCCGGGCGTGCGGGCCGGGCCCTCGGAGGCGTAGGCCCTCGGCGGCGGCAGAAGCACCAGCAGGCTGGATGCACAGAGGAGGACCGCGGCCGAGCGCGCCCAACCCCGTCCCTTTCCCGCGGGGCCCGCCCCCTACGCGCTCCGGTCCGCCTCTCGGTCCTCGTCGGCCTACCAAGGCTCCGCCCCGGCCCGGCCCCGCCAGCTTCCTGCCTCCTCGGCTCCGGAAACCCCGCCTCTTGGTCCCATGTCGGCCCCGACCCGGGCAGTGCCGCGGGTTCCACCCCCTACGCGTTCCAGCCGCCCGTCCACCCGCTCCTCGCCTGGTCCCCGGGTGGCGCCCTGGGCACCGCGGAGTTGGTGGTTCTGCCCGGCGGCGCCGGGGGCTCCGGTGCGCTCCCCGCTCGAGGCCCGCCTTCTCCCGCGTGCGGCCGGCCAGGAAGATCCCTCGGGTCGCGCGTCGGGCACATTTTCCTACACATTTGCAAGTATCAGAGTGTCTCCGAAATGGTGCCACTGTATCCGTATGCGTTTGTGTCCGCATGCCGTACAGACTGGCAAGCCTGCTGGCTCTCCAAGTGTTTCCCACGATGAACTTTGATTATACTGCTGGATGGTATGCTTTGGTTCTGACATACCATTGGTGTGTTTCTCTACTACCCTATTGCCAGGTATTTATTACCAATTTTTCTATTACCAGGAAGAAAAAAAAAGCCAAAAGCCAAGATGATCCTCTTTATTCAGCCTTGCGTTGCAGGCTGAATCGTATCCCCCTCTCCCCCAAACTTCATAGGTTGAGGTCCTAAGCCCAGGTACCTCAGAATGTGGCTGTGTTTGGAGACAGGGTCTTTATAGAGAGGTGATCAAGATACAGTGAGGTTGTTGTGGGGGTTCCTACTCCAACAAGACTGGTGTCCTTATGAGAAGAGGGAATTTGGACACAGTTGTGTAGTGAGGACACAGGAGCAGACAGTGTTCTACATGCCAAGGAGCAAGGCCTTAGCAGGAAATAACCCTGCTGACGCCTTGAGCTGGGACTTCCAACCTCCATATAGAAAGTCGGTTTCTGTTTAAGCCACTTGGGCTCTAGTACTCCATTATGGAAGCCCTAGCCCACTGATACACCCTGCTTGGATAGAATTAATGGACTACATGTAACAGACAACTCCATTCCATAAAAAGTGGCTTAAACAAGATAGAGGGCTTTGTTGTTATTGTTTGACTTTTTTTTTTTCACAGGAACAGCTGGAAAATTAAGCATCTAGGGCTAGTGTTGTGGCTCCCGAGATACCTGGCACACAGCCCCTTTCTCATCCTGATCCATCACACTGGCCTGTGGCTTCCATCCTCAAAGTCACCACAAGTTCTGAGATGGCTGCTGGTGCTCCAGCCATCAAGATGACTTTCATCCAGAGGAAGGAAGGAAGGCCAAAAGGAACATACATTTCAATGGAGTCAGCTTCCTTTAAGCAGCCTACTTGGACATTTCGCACAACACTTCTGTTTATATCTCATGGGCTGGAATCTAGCCCTCCAACGGAGGCTGGGAAACTGTCTTCTGGATGTATACCTTGTCACAGCATGCATCTATCTATATGTATACATGCTATGACATATTTTATTGACATTGGGCAAAAACAACATAAGAAAAAGAGGATTTTTCCTTTTCTTTTTTGAAGTCATAAGGGAAATGTCATAAGCTTCTCCCCAGGGTGCATTGCTCCACCCAGTGGCTTGGAGCCCTGTCCTGGTGCAGTCATGCTAAAAAACATGAACAGCTGTGGCCGATCATGTGCTCTGCTGGGAGGAGTCACCCTGGTTACTCACTTTGCCAGCTGCCCAGTTAAGGTGCAGAACTTCTGGGATTCCTGGTCCACAGTATCTAGTTATTAAAAAAAGAAGTCATTTAGTGTTTTACAGAAATTGTTGGGATTGTGTAAAAGATTCCAGGGCTACTGGCTTTCATTTAAGGAGGAAATCAATTCCATTTATAATCCACTGATGTAAAAACATCTGGAATGATTGCATTTTCACCATTTGGGTATTTGGAAGTTGTCTCAGTTCAACTCTGTGAGACTTTATTTACTAAGGCCCTACTGTCAATCAAGAGCCAGATGAGGCATGGATGGAAAGATTAATACTACAACATCCCTGCACTAAAGAGCTCGCAGACTAGCAGAGGATATAAACAACACACAGTAAGTATAGTGCAGACTGCGGGATGTCAGGACCCGTGAGGGGGTGATCTGATTATAATAACACCCCTATTTTAGGCAAGAGGAAACCCTGGCTTTGGAATTGCAGAATTTGTCCGAGATCACGCAGCTAGTGAGCGGCAGGCGAGAACTGGAGCCCAGGTGTGCGTGTTTTTCTTCCACAGAGCACCATCTGGGGTAATCATCCAGACACTCAGGGCTAGGAGCCATGTGCAAAACCCATTGAGAAGGAGTCTGGAGCCAGGAATGTTCAGATGGGATGAGATAAGGGTCTGACCCAGGTCTGAGGCAGTGTAGTCAGTCAGACAGGAGAGGAGGGGACAGAAGTGGGAGGGATGTGTGGTCACAGCCTGAAGGAAGGCAGCCGCTAGCCTCTCACCGCTCTGGAGTTTAATACGAGCTGCTCTTCTCACTGGTTCAGGGCCTGCAGATGGTAAAACTGGATCTGAGATGACTGCTGTCTTAGCCGGGTCTCCTCCTGACTTGTCACAGCACAGCAGGGGAGGCATGCCTCCACTGGGGGGTGCAGCAAGAGCCCCCAGCAGTATTTGGAATCAGGCAGGGTGATATTCAAAATACTGAAAGCTTGGGATGGCACAGCTACACCTCAGTCGGAACCGAGGCCGATGACTGAGAGGTGGACCATGGTTCTGGAGGTTGCGGCGGCCGAATCTTCACCCTGTAAAGACGGAATCATGGGGAGGCGCAGCTGGGGGGTCTCTAGGGTGGGGCTGAGGCCGAGGCAGTAAGTAGTTCCATTCTCTTCTTTTGCTACTTTTTAGTCGTGGAGCGAGAAGAGGCACCACCTATCTGCTGAGCTTTATCTGCTCCATGGAGCATCTAACTGATTCTGTTTTGACTACAAGTCCAGGTTTGCAGGAGAGAATGTGCTTGGTCCAGGCCCGGGTGGGTGTCCATTCCTGGTCACCACAGTCACTCATTAACAGGAGAAGCAGGACTTACATAATTAAAACCTGTGTTTGCTAAATGCGATGAAAAACAAGTTTAAAGGCAAATAAATTGGGAGGAAAACTCCAACATGGCATACACAAACCAGTAAGAAAAAGATGAACACCCCTGTTGAAAAATGGGAAAAGACATGAACAATATTTTTATTTATCCAAAATAAATAACTGGCCAATTTATATGTGAAAAAAAAAAGTCAGAACCTTATTAGATATCAAAGAAAAAGCAAATTCAAAGAAGATATAATTTTTTACCTATCAGGTCAAAATAAAGATGAATATAATGTACATTGTTGGCAAGGCTCAGGACATAAGCATTCTCATTCCCTTATGGGGGTGAAGTTTTTCTGCATGAAAATTAGGTGAAATGTATCAAAACCCTAAGAAATGTACAGTCTCTGATTAACAAGTGTGCATCAAGAACTGACTCCAAGGACCCAGACAATGAATAGTGATGGTATATGTAGCAGTTACCCTGTGGCAGGCACCCTTCTGAACACTTGACATGTATTCTTTCATTTACCTCTCCTCACAATCCAACCTTAACACTCTCATAAGAGCGGAAAACAGGAACTATCCTAAATGTTCAAGGACACTAGACTGTAAAATCACGTTTACACATTGCGAATTTACAGTCTGTTCATACAACGGAAAACAAGAGTCATTAAGTGTGATATCATAGATGTATAATCGTTGATACTAAAGGTGTTCATTTTATATTATTAAATCACAAACTGTTAGAAATCGGTATTAAAATTATAGAGATATGGATATATATCATAGGAAGACAGCAGCAAGCAGCTCTCTAAGGAGTGGGATTTCAAAGCTGTTGTATTTCAAAAGCAGGGGCGAGCCTGAAAACACACAGATGCTCCCAAAATATTGATAGTCTTACTGTTCTCTTCACCAAGATAGAAGGAAAAAAGTGAGACAAGGCAGCCACAAGAGGACAAATATTGTATGATGCCCTTACATACGGTACTTAAGAGACAAAGTAGGGTGGTGGTTTCTAGAGGTTGGCAGGATGGGGAGGGAAGACTTCTTGCTTAGTGGGTACAGAATTCCAATTTGGGAAGAGGAAAGATTTCCGGAGATGGACAGTGGTGTAATGTGAATGTAAGACCACTGACCCGTGGCTAAATTCACAGAAATGGCCGAGAGGGTAAATTTTATGTCACAAGTATTTTAGCACAATAAAAAAGTCAAACCAGAGTGCTCATACTATTATTGCCTTGTACCTGCGTGAAGCGCTGGCGTGGGTGCACCAGAATTTTAGAATAGCAGGGAAGGAGAGAAGGAATGTCTCCTCCATCCTGCCCGCCCACCTGTCAGCTCCACCGCTCCTCCCCGCATCAGCGCTCTTTACATCTTGTTCATTCATTCATTTCTTAAATGCCTGCTAAGTGTCGGCCTTGAGCCAGGCATTGAGAATACATGGTCCAGTGGCCAGGCCATCTCTGCATGTGGTTCCCGCGGCCCCTTGTCTGCTCCATGTACCTTCCCCCAGCCAAGCCTTCAGCCCACAGATTTTCAGCTTTCTTCTCTCACTCAATTTCCATTTTAATTTTAAAAGATGGCTAGGAAGGGTCATGGGTGGAGTTTGCTAAAGAGAAAGCCCTTAGTCCAGTGATTCCAGGGGCAGGCACAGCCTTCCTCCGCCCATCAGGTCAGACTAGAGTAAGCCACAGCAGCAAAAGACCCTCGGATCTCAGCGGCTTAACACTGAGTTTACTTTTTGCTGGCATTATACGTCCATCACAGGTCAGGAGAGGGTCTCCTCCCTGGTCACCTGGGCTTACAGGGGCTCCATCTTTTAGCTGCACCATGTAAACACAGTCTCCCTAATATTATGGGGGGTAAGAGAGAGTGAATTGGAGATGGGCTTGTCCCGGCCTCAGCCCAGAGGAGACACATCACTTCCACTTGGATTTCATTGGTCAGAAGGATCACACTACCCTGCCTCCCCTGCTGGACCCCTTGGGGAGCACCACTCTCTCTGCTGGTTTCTCGGCCCAGTGCTCACTATACCAAGAGTGAAACTATGATTACTTGTTCGCGTGACGCCGGTGTCCTCTCTGGCCTCCATCCTTCAGAAGAGACAGAGCCCTCGTGTTCTTATTACGGAACTTTGGTGCCACGGTAGGTGCCCAGTGTTGGTGGGGTGAGTGAACGCGGGCAGAAAGTAGAGGTCACCTACAGGAAGGCGGAGGTGGTGTCTGAAGATCAGTTTAGGAGGAGCTGCCCCATCAGAAGCGCGCAGCAGGGAGGGCCAGGATCAAAGCCCTGACCCCACTGAACACAGTGGGACGGTCCGCGTGCAGCAAAGCGCATTGCTGCGGCACGAGGCTCCCAGCTGCAAAGCTGCAATAGACGAGAGCGCATAGAAGCAACAGCAGTTTCAACAATGAACCAGACACATTAGAAGGGTATGACTCTGTCTCATAATAAATTTTTTGGAGGAAAAAAAGTACGACGAGGGTGCTGCTATTCCTGGGTTCCTGTGGAAAGAGCTTGGTTCAGCCAACTCTAAAGATGGAAGTGATCAAAAGTTATCTAAGGGCCCTTTCGGCTGTGAGCAGGGTGACCACCCCTCCGGGTCTGTGCCTGTCGGCCCCGCTTGCTTTATTAATAGCATGTCTTACAGCACAGTCTGAAAACTGGATCAGACGGTAAATTGCAAGGCCATCCTAGTTATAAGTACATTTGCCACTGGCTGAAAAAAGGTGACCCCGGGTCCGAGGAAGGAACCGAGGGACACTTGTTTCCGTTGGCTGATGCACCGGCTCGGGCTGCCCGGGCGCCCAGGGGCCGGTTTCAGGACGAGGAGGCTGCGCAGGAGGGAGGAAGCCCAGCTGCTTCGACCACTTCCTGCAGGGTGAGGTCCGGGTGACAAGGGGCGGCTGCCATTCTCGCTGTCCTTAGGCACTTCGGCGTCCGAGCCTCAGCTTCCTTGTCTGTAAAAGGGGGAGAGTTCTTCACCTCCAGAGGCCGCTTCTCCTACGCAGCGGCACGAGGACTCAGTCCGGCACACGGCTGAAGGCCACCGAGCGGCCGAGGCCCCACGTGCCACGGCTGCCCTTGCGAGCCCAGGGCTCAGCAGCCGGCGCACAGCGTCCCACGTGGGCATGAGAAAGCGGCTGTTTGGGGAGAACTCGCACAAGGTCACGCGCCTCCCGGATGCGGGGGTAGAGCGGACCCCAAACGCTGGGGCGACGCGCATGCCGACTCTGCGGGACGTTAGCTGGGCGGGAGGCGGCGGCGGGCGTCCGAGCCCTCTCCGCGGGCCGCAGCACGTCCGCGCGTCCCCGGCACCGCGCGCCGCCCCCTCGGGAGCCACCCCTGGCAGAGCTCAGCCCCAACAAAGGGCTGGAGAGAGCTTGTCAGGAGGCGGGTGTCCCGCAGAACGGCTCGACCCCGGCAGTCCCTGGGCATGGAGTCGCCTTTCGGGTCCCTTCCGTTCGGAGAGCGGGTCACCGTTCGGCTCGGCCGCCCGGCGGGCAGGAAGCGTGGAGCCCCCGGTCCGGCGGAGCTGACGTCAGGCCCGCCGGCGGCCGCGCCCCCGCCTCCCGGGAGTGCGCGGAGCCCCCGGCCCGCCCCCTCCGGGCCCCCGGAGGCGCGGGCCCCCAGGCCGGCCCGGCGCGCGCAGGGCGCGGCGCCCCAGAGCCGCGAGCTTCCCGGGGGAGGAGCAGCGCATCGCGCAAGCATCCGGGAGCGGCGGAGGGGGCGGGGGCAGGGCGCGAGGAGGAAGCGGGATTTAAACGAACGGCGGTGACGCCACACAAAAGACCTCCGGAGGCTGCGGGCGCGGCGGGGACCGGGCTTGCGGACCCGGCGAGGACAGGCCCGCGGGGAGGCGGCGGCGTGTGCCCACCGCCCGCGGCCGCCGCCCTTCCTTTCGGTTTTCCCGGCTCGCTCGGAAGTTGGAGGTTGACAAACATGGCAGGAGCCGGGGCCCCGGCGGGTGGCCGCGCCGCGGGGACCTTCTGAGCCGGCCCGGCGGCCGCGCAGCGCGCGGGGCGGCCCATGCGCAGGGCCCGGGCGCTTGGAGCTGCTGAGCCGCCGCGGGCCCGAGGCGAGGCGGCGACGGGGATGGACTCGCGCCCACGGCCGGCGGCGGGCCGCGGGGCGCGCGGGGCGGGAGGGCGTGCCGCCTGGGCGCCGGGCCGCGCGCTCTGAGCCCGCGAGGCGGGAAGGGGCCGCCGCGGCGCCGGCACGCCCGGGCGTGGCGGGCGGGCCCGAGCGCGAGCGGGCGGCCGCTGCGCGCGATCCGTGCCGCCTCCCGCCCGACTCCGACTCCGCGCGGCCGCGCCAGCCCCGACCACACCCTCGGCCCCGCCGCCGGCGCCGCTGCCGAGAGCGCCCGCGGGAGATGCGCCCCGGGCGGCCGCCGTCGCGGGCCAGTGCCGCCCGGCGGGGTCGCGCTGCCTGAAGCCCACGTGCGCCGCCGAGCCCGGGCTGGCTGACAGCGGGGCCCGCCCGGGCCGCCGCCCGCGCTCCTCCCCGAGGAAAGGATTTTGATTTCAAAGAAAGGAAGGAAGGAAGGACAACTCCCAGCTCCCCCGCCCGCGCCGGCGGCCGGCCGGGCCATGCCCAGGAAGGCGACGGCGGCCCAGCGGCAGGGACTTTCCTGGCAGCCCGGCGCCGACGAGCGCGCCCCGTGAGTTTGCCGCGCTCGGTTCATGCTTCCTGCAAGGCCCCCGAGAGGCCGAACGCCACAGCCCCTCCCCGCGCCCCGAAGAGCCTCCCGCGTGCCCTGGCCCTCGGGCCCGCCCCGCGTCTGCCGGGCTCCGGCCGCCGCAGCCCAGCGCCGGCCGCCCACGGCGGTGAATGGCATGATGGTGCGGGGCGGGCGCCGCGGCCCAGGCCAGCTGAGTCGCGAAGGCCGCGGGGGCGGCGGCAGTGGCGGAGGTAGCGGGCTCCCCCTCGGCATGCCAGTGCCCCCCGGGCGCGATGGCTAGCGGCAGCGCGGGGAAGCCCACTGGCGAGGCGGCTTCTCCGGCTCCCGGGAGCGCCGTCGGTGGAGCCTGCTCGCAGCCGCGGAGGAGGCTGGTGTCCGTCTGCGACCACTGCAAGGGCAAGATGCAGCTGGTGGCCGACCTGCTGCTGCTGTCGAGCGAGGCGCGCCCCGTGCTCTTCGAGGGCCCTGCCGCCCCGGGGGCCGCCGCCGAGTCCTTCGAGCAGTGTCGGGACACCATCATCGCGCGCACCAAGGGGCTCTCCATCCTCACCCACGACGTGCAGAGCCAGCTCAACATGGGCCGCTTCGGGGAGGCGGGGGACAGCCTGGTGGAGCTGGGCGACCTGGTGGTGTCGCTGACCGAGTGCTCCGCCCACGCGGCCTACCTGGCGGCCGTGGCCACGCCGGGGGCGCAGCCCGCGCAGCCGGGCCTGGTGGACCGCTACCGCGTGACGCGCTGCCGCCACGAGGTGGAGCAGGGCTGCGCCGTGCTGCGCGCCACGCCGCTGGCCGACCTGACGCCGCAGCTGCTGCTGGAGGTGTCGCAGGGCCTGTCGCGCAACCTCAAGTTCCTGACGGACGCGTGCGCCCTGGCCAGCGACAAGTCCCGGGACCGCTTTTCGCGCGAGCAGTTCAAGCTGGGCGTCAAGTGCATGAGCACGAGCGCGTCGGCGCTGCTGGCCTGCGTGCGCGAGGTGAAGGCGGCGCCCAGCGAGCTGGCCCGCGGCCGCTGCGCGCTCTTCAGCGGGCCGCTGGTGCAGGCCGTGGGCGCGCTGGTGGGCTTCGCCACCGAGCCGCAGTTCCTGGGTCGCGCGGCCGCCGTGAGCGCCGAGGGCAAGGCGGTGCAGACCGCCATCCTGGGCGGCGCCATGAGCGTGGTGTCGGCCTGCGTGCTCCTGACCCAGTGCCTCAGGGATCTGGCGCAGCGCCCCGACGGGGGCGCCAAGGTGTCGGACCACAGGGAGAGGCTGCGCAGCTCGGCGTGCGCCGTGTCTGAAGGCTGCACCCTGCTATCTCAGGCTTTACGGGAGAGGTCTTCGCCCAGGACTTTACCGCCAGTGAATTCCAATTCTGTGAATTAGCACCCCCGCCCCTCGGGGCGCCCCAGACTGGAGCAAGACGCGTCCTCTCCGCCCCTCCCCGTTTATGCCAAAGAACCCGTAGGCGAGCCCTCCCCCCCCCCCGCCCCGCCGTGCCAGCCGCCCCGGAGGAATCTTCCAGAAGGCAGGGCGGCACCCGCAGTGCAGGCCCGGCAGGGGGTGCCCAGCGCACGGCGGGGAGGGGGGCGCAGAGGCTGGACGCCGCATCTCCCGGCCGCTCTCCGGGAATCCCGCCACTAAATGTTATCATCAGCTGGGCAGGAAGGAGGTCATTGGTTCATTTCTTTTTCGGTCTTTTTTTTTTTTTTTTTTTAATTAAAAAATAAAAGATTTCCTTTTTTTTTTTTTTTTTTGCATGGTATAATTTTTCTTTTTTTTTTTTTTTTTTTTTTTTTTTTTTTCCTAATTAAAAGAAAGGTTACCTCAGTTTTCACTCATTAGACATGGATGTAGCTACCTTTTTTTTGTATGTTGTTATTTTTTTAAGCAGTCGTGTTGGATCAGCTTCATCCTTGGTGTGGAAAGAGTATGACGTTGCCATGTGATTTGCAAATGGGGGAAAAGCTACTGTGAGTGTGTGTTTTATTTTTTAATTTACACTATAGAGTGATTTTTTTCCCCTCCCACCCCAATGTCAAAGTTTTTACCTTGCATGTACTGGAGTATTTATTTCATCTATTAAAATGTTATGTTTCTCAGATGGCTTTTCGCAATTATTGTTCATTTTCAATAATTGTAATGTTGCATGCTGCATGTCGTTTATGGAGAGGCCCCAGGAGAGGCTACTTCAGTAGCAGTGAGGTGGGCCCCGAATCTTCAACCCTTTCCCGTTTTTTCCTCAAGAATTACCTCTTTGAGCAGCCTAGAAGACGGCTGTGCGAGGCTGTCCTTGCAGAGGCCGGTGACTGAGTGGACTGTGCAGTGGGCCAGCGCTGGGCTGTTGGCGGAGGGGTTTGTCTCACTCCAGTTTCTCCTGGAAAGTCACTTGGCTCCCCTTGTCTTTGCTCATCTCTCTGTCCTAACAAAGGAGGTTCAGGCTGACTGAAGTCTTGATTGGCATTCTGTCTTCAGATGAGGGCTCTTGCTAGCCCTGCATGGTATGCCAGCCTGCCCAGGTCCGAGAATGTGTGTGGGACTGTGTGAGCCCTGCACGTCAAATGAGAGCAGGCACAGGTCTATTCAGACAAGATCCAGTCACTCATTTACAAAGAAGCATAGAGGGTGCTAGACTGTTTAATGGAGAAGTGTTCTGGAAAGTGTAAGAACTTCCTAAAGCCGCAGCATAATTGCAGGTAAAGGGCTTACGTTTGTGACCTTGATCTAAGATACGCCGTGGATTGTATGTTCGAAGAACGCACAGTTCGTTGAAATCTGGAGTGAATTTAAGGTGGCTTGTTCTTTAAGGAAAACTTTTGGGGGAAGGGATGTATAGTTTTGCAGAACCTAGTTAAGTTTTGAACATTTTCCCGTTGAAAGAACCACGTATTTGCGGTGCTTTCCCTAGGAGAGCCACGTAGCTAAAATCCCATACATACTTTATAAATTTGCTCAGTTTACATTTTTCTTGGGACTTGTTGTGCCTCACTCAACCTTTGCAGTTCCCGCAGGTCTGAAAATAATTTTTCACCGAAGTATGTCAGAGAGACAGGAAAGTCATATTGACTGTTTTACTAGAATGGCAGCATTTATTACAAAAACGCATTCGACATGTACAATGTCTTTAAACCTGTGTTGGGTGACACCAGGACTTTTTAGCTCTGAATCTGAAGTTTGAAAAGGTCTCCAAGTGGTAGGGGATATAACATTTCTTTTTTTAAGTCAAGGAAGCAGTTGTTTGGGTCTCTTAAGGTCCTGGTAGGATTAAATTTTTGAAGTCTTTAAAAAGATGGAAATGACCTTGAGAATGGGTTCTTCTGTTCCCCTGCCCTTGACTCTGGAACAGTCAGGGTCAGGAAGTATTTACGGGGAGGAAACTTACACCAGGTACCAGGGACAGTCCTGCTCGTCCGTAGGAAGTTTTAAATATTTCTGTGGATCGGGTTCACATAAGTAATAATAGAGTTGATAATGGTTCGTTTAGCCCGAATGGAACAGAGAGGAACAAACAAAATCAAAGTAGGAACAGAAACCGTGAATCTGGTATTTGATCAAGAGAGAGAGAACTGCCAATTGTCCCCTGGACTCATTTCCTTGCAGAAGTGATTTTTCAGGAAAATGAAAGCCCCCCAAAAAATCACTTTCTTTGTCTGCTTGGATGACATTAACTAGCTTGTCACCAAACTAATTTTGAGATTTCTTTTCCTCTTAGCCAAGCAAGAGTTGCTCTTAACATTTCTGCATCTTAAAGGTTTTGACTTGAAATATTCAAGATCTCTGTCTTCTGAAACTGATCAATGTTCTAGTGGTGTTTTTAACCTCCTTTTTTCCCCCTTAGATAAAAGTTCAGAATTTTTCTTCTAGCAGGTGGCTTGGGATGAATTCTGCTTGTATTTTTATTTTATTCTTTTTACACAGCAGGTTTCAGGAAACCGGAGTGAGGAAGGTAGGGTATTTCTGTGTGTCTGCATTGTTCAGCAAGGCCGGGGATTTGGGCCCAGATTTTCAACATTTTAACTTTCTTTCAGTGCACCCAAGTGCATTGCTAACTTTTGAAAAAAAATAGCTCTAATTTTTGAAAAGCAGTGTCTCAGACCTATTTTGTTGGGTTTAATAAGGTCAGCAGAGATGCTAGTTCCAGGAATAAAGTCAGACTGGCCTGATTTTTTTTTTTAATTAAACCATATTAAAGTTAACTTAAGACTTTAATCCTTGGGATCTTCTGACTTTTGAGGGCAGGTTTCCTCCCACAGGCTTGATGGACACCATCCTGACCGGGGATGTTGAAACCTCCTTGCTTTGAGTGGTCGTGGTAGAAGGAAACCATTATGGCTAAGTTCTTGGAACAAAAACCCTTATTTATGACCATCAACCCAAGAAAATGGGACAAAGGCTTTCAAACACAAAACTTAACTAGAAAAAAGCACAGATGTTTTAAGCTTGTCCTTTTTCTATTCATTCTGGATTGATGTTAGGAAATGCAAAACTTACACATGTGTATATGTGTGTGCACACATGTGTATTTTCTTCCACCCGTCTTCATCTGCACTCCAGTTTTAATATGGGGCCGTGTTTCTCAAAAAATACCTAAAGAGTGTATAATTCTGGAAACAATTACATCTGATTGGTTATTTTGCAAACTTTTGTTTTTAGCTGGCGTAGGGGTCTAAAGTACTTGACAATTTGAAACAACTGATTTTAACAGAAACACCTGTTTTTCAGAATGAATGTGATTATGGTAACATGCAGATCTGACAGGACTTGAAGGACTCCTGCCAAGGCCCCTTTCGAGCTTTACTCAGTAAACAGGAGACGAGGTAGACAAAGAATCCTTAAAGCCTCAGGGTGCTTCCATCTGAGGACCCTGGGTGCTCCAGCCAGGGAACAGCCCTCAAGGAGGCCATCTCTGAGTTCCAATGTGGATACAGATGCTTATATTCCCACCAGGCAGATTCTTGTCTAGATTTAGAAAGTGTTTGTTTTGCATGACTATGTAATTGAATTGGCCTATTTTACCTAAGAAGGTTTTTTCTTTTTAGGGTCTTTTAGATAGTGAGTCTTGCTTCCACTGCAGTGGCCGACGGCTCAAAGATTGACTGTCTAGATAGTGCAGAGGAAAAGTGACCACAGCATTTGTGCCTGAGATTGATTTAATTTAGCTGTAAATCACAGACCCTCCAGGTTGGGGGCTACAGTGCTTGGCGCATGTGAAGTTGTTTTTGAAGTGGCTGTGGTACAGATGCCTGTAGGGACTATACGTAAGCCAGCAAGGAGTAAAATCGTTTCTGGGCACGAGAGTGGGAACATGGATTCATTAAGCGCATACTTACCAGGCATCAGCTGTGTGTGCCAGCGCTGCGCTAGGTGCTGGGATGCACCTGAGGTGTGGACCCTCCCCTTGCAGAGACTCCGTGTCACTCCAGGTGGTGGGGAACGGCTGCATCGTCCCCGGCAGAGAGAGTCCTGGGCCCTATGTCAGGCCTGTCACCCAGAAACTCTGGGGATGGAGTGGTCTGTCAAGAACCTCAGTTCTGTCACGCCCTCCCCGCTGACTCTGCTGCACGCCCAGTGTGGGGAACCACCGGTCTGCGGGGCCTGCTGGTGTCTTTGTGTCCCCTGCCGGCTCTCAGGCCGCAGCGCTTCTGTATCAGGAGGCAGCAACATTTCTGCAACTTTCTTGTTTGCTCAGGTGTTTTTTCTCCTGGCTGTTTTGAGCCCTTTTCTTCAGATAGAGAAGATAATGTAGTCTCTCCTGCCAAGTTGGAATTGGCAGCGTTCGTGTGTGTGTGTGTGTGTGTGTGTGTGTGTGTGTGTGTGTGTGTCCATAAAGTACAG